TATATCCAACCACTTTTTATAAAAACTCTAATAAGAAAAAACAAAAAGGTGGCTGTGTGAGTAACTAAGGACTTCGGGACAATTTAAATACTCAGGAACAATACCGTAAAATATTGGTAGAGAGTTCCAGGACACCCTGTACTTACTTGTCCAAAGAGAAACATTTTTACTGGTAACTAATTTGCAGATGATTTGCTGCGGGCTGTAAGCTCTAATTTATTTAAATTTCAAAATATTGTGAATTATTTGGCGCCGTTAAAAATGGTACATGAAAGTTAAAAAAAAAAACAGTACTTGTTACAAATATTTTAAAAGAACCCACGGACCAGGAAAACTACTTTAACAGTTTACTTAAATAACTTGTTCTCCAAATACCCGTGGTGTGGTAAAGTAGTCTAGTAGTTCCACTAATTGCCGCTGCACGCTCACAGCGCTGTTGTGTTAGTTCTCGACTTGTCCGCCAGGTGTCTCGCCGCGCGGCCTTGAACCGCGCATCGATCAATACAACAAGAGGGAGCAATACAATACCGGAAGCTGGAGTCGCGGATTCAAGGATCGCTTTTCCGGAAATACGAGTCATATACGCGCACGCGCTCTCGCGTCTGCACTTTTGCATTGCCTGTTGCCTTTGTCACAATTTTAGCTGATTGATTTGTCAGAGCCGAAGAGTGAAAATACTTCGTTCACCGACATTTAAAAAAATGCTTTTACAATTTATTTTAGTCTTCTTTCATACTATTAAAAATCTAGGTTTGACTTTTACAATAGAGGTTTAGAAGGGTTCGTGTCATTAATTTTGCTCTATTTATAGCGATTTTTTATGGGCGGTAGCTTTTTCCTCTTGGTAAAACAGGATCCAACAACCTATTTACTGTACTTTTATCTAGGGTTTTCAAAACAAAAAAGGCGTTCGTTCAGATTTTTTACGTATGTCCAAAGGCACGATTATTATAATAAAAGGTATCAGACTTTTATCCAATCTATATATTAATACGCAAGCAGTTTTCTTTTCACAGTCATAACTCAATAACTTACTGAGGGATATCTTAAAAAAATATTATAAATAAACGGTATCAGCAATCTGACACATACTTTCTCCCATTAGCTTGTCAATAAATACCCTTTATCATGGGTAAGCGATGAGAGTAACTATGATTTAATAGGTAAAATCTTAAAAGTTGCATTAACTTTTTAACAGTAATTTTAACAGGAATGAAAGATGCACTATTTTGTTTAGAATTATATAAGGACCATAACAGTAGGATTTCAATCAGAATCGTTATTCCGTTAGAGTCGTTTTCCGTGATTTTATGGGGAAATCGACATAAAAAATCAAAATTAAAAAAAAATTAAAAAAAACACCTGGAAATACCATGGATTAGTACCTACATACCAAATTAAATCAAAATTGGACTACAGGTGTGGTCTGTAATTCTGTACACATCCAGACACACACACACAGACATCACTTCGAAAACGAAAACCACTTTATTGTGTCCAGGGGGACACAAAACGGATATATCCACTCAAAACTCAAGCTCGAAAATTTTGACGAAAACAATACTTTCTCCATATACTATGGTATAGGGAGAGAAAGCAAAAAGTTATTCACCAGTTAGAATAAATGTTTATCACTTTAAATTATTACATTTGAAGGAATATTTTTTCCGCCTAGGTTTGTTGCAACGGGGGTAATATGAATCGTAAGGAATAATATTATTATGATTTTAAGGATGACAAAAATTTTAATAAACATGTTGTGTATGATCAATTGATCAACTATTATTATATCAGATACACTAATCACGAAACTAAAATAAAAACATTCATTTCCCTCAAGTATTCATTATACTTTAATTTGTAGAAACCTGAATTTTTTTATTATAATTCAATTTATTGTTTTATTTTAGTAATACCAGAGATTACGTAGCATATGTAATCTTTGGTAATACCTTTGTAAATTGGAATAATAAGTTTTTTTTATTGTTCCAAACTACAGTTAAAACAATATTTATCTCCGAGCCTGTAGATAATCCATCGGTTGACCAGCAGTGCATTATTGTGGTTTATCGGTATCCGGTGTAATGAAGGCACTAGTTAAATGTAGTGGTTCTTCATAGTTGATGTTGTAGGGCTGCATGTGTAAATATCAATATTTTTAATGTATATTTCGCATATATAGACCAAAGATGTGTTGATATGATAATGTTCAGTGTTTTTTTAACTATACAACCCACAATGCTGTAAAAATTACAAATAAAATGATATTGCAGTTTATAATACAGTTTATTTTTCTGTGTAAACCCACGAATAACAACAATGTAATTAATTCGCCCCGTGGTCGAAAACTCGACCAAAAGTATGTGTTGTGCAAACTTCTCTATTTTCGACTCACGCTGTAAATAAAACATGTGATTGGAATTTCTTCAATTTGTTGTGATTTTCTGTTTATTTTGTTGTTTTTCGTCACTAACATGGCAACCCATAAAGCCCATGATATTTTTTTATTATATTAAATTCCTGTTTTTTGCTTATTTTGTGCCCATTTTAATTTTATAAAGGGATTCTGTACATCTACCTAGCCAAATATCTTTCTATTTATAACAGTATGCGTAGATTTTCCCTGCAATGCACAGGAGCTAAAAAAAAAGGTTTTCAATAAACATGATTGTCACATAAAAAAGTCCCATGTTAAATCTACACAAGAGAATTTAAATTTCCATTTTTGACCCAATTAACATAAATAATTGTCAAGATACAAATAACACCTGCACATTTTGACCGATAACCTTTCTTTTGCTACAACCCGCGTATAAGTATAAATTGTATGGATGTCGTAATCCTAAAAAATTGGCCACATTTTAAATCTTCATAAGAAAAGTTAAGTTTCCGTTTTTAACCCAATTAACATAAATATTTTCAAAATACAAATAATACCTGCACATATAGGATCGTAAATCTTTCTTTTGATACAACCTACGTGTAATTGTTCTTAAAATACATGTAAAGAAACCTTTTCTAAAACAACACGGAATGATTGAACTATTATTCACAGTTAAAGGAAAACTCCTGAGCAACATATTAAAAATTGATAAAATATTTACAAGAAAATGTTAGTTAATATATCGTACTGTTATGCCGTATTTCCATTATGTACATAAGTTTTGAGTTTGACACTCTTTTAAACTCATCAGAAATTATGACTTTTTTTGTTTTTAAATAACTCTTTGTAACTTTGTAGGTATTCGCTCGAATTCAAGCAACATGTACACACACTAGTTCAGATAAATATGAGTTTTTTATTCAAACTGTCATATTTTAAAAAATTGAGAGAGTAGTTAGTCAAAGGTACTCTAATATAATAGAGGTTCTACAAGAACTTCGGTTAACTAGGTTTTGTTCATTTCTCTGTGTTTGTTTTGATTAAAAAACTAATAACTAGATCACATAGTGATGGAATATCTACTTTAATTTGCAAACTAAAGATATTACTATATTATTATTGTTATTAATATTATTATTAGTGTAGTGTATTGTCAGTAGGCCTACCACAATACCCTAAACATTTTGATGAGTTGTTGTATTTGTCACCAATATATCCCCGATTTCTGTAACAATACTATTTCACTATTTCATACAAATTTAAATCATTTTCTCTAAAAATTTAATTTTCATATCAAAAAAACAAAATCCACAATTTTAGAAATTTTTCATACAGTATCTTCAAAATTTAAAAATACTAACAAATACACTCTGATTTCAATACTTTAGTTATATACAAATTTACAAATTTTTCCATAAATTTCATTTTTATTGTAAAACACTAATCCACAATGTTATGTTTTGTCACCCCTAAAAGTCGTGATTCACAAATCTGGTTGGAACAGAATACAGATTGATAGCTATGTTGGAGCGTTGTGTAGCGGAGCTGAGCTGGGTAGACACTTTCACCCCCCACCCCCGTTGCTAGGCAACACCCTCCCCCACAACCCCCTCGTCACGTGACTCTACCCACACAGCGGTAGTAGGGATGTTGCGATACCACTGTCTTTCCGATATTTGGTATCGATACCGTATCGCAAAAAAGTATCGATACCGGCTCAGTATCGGAACTAAAGTATCGATACCGTCAGTATCGTATCCATTCGATACCAGCGACGTCATATTCTGATTCACTGATCTTCGATTAAAGTTCACTCGTTCCAGTATAGTGCAGCCAATATAGGATTCGAATTCAAGCTGCTAAAAACTACCTAAATATGTAAAACATTGATAAAATTAACCAAACATAGCCAACCATTGTTTTCAATTTTACCTTCAAGTAAAAGTTCAAGTAGAACTAAGCTTACCTTATGTTCTAGGCCTACACAATTGATCTTTTCAATAGACAATGTTATTAAATTACCGTAACACATTCGTGTTTACCATCAGCCTAAATTTAAAAAAAAGTTTTTTTTTTGGTTAAACAACTTTAAGTGCCATCTTTTTAGTTTATTTGATGTTAAATCATGCTTACATTTTACTTGCCTAACACAACGTTGCTAATATTGACTTGTAATAAAAATAACTCTGCATCCAAACCCTCAAGTTGTATCATTGACTAAATATACGTCTGCAGGTATTTATAGTCAATGGTTTTACTTATAGTTATGTGTAAAGTTCTATGAATGAATAGTGAATCGAATCATAATTTACTCAAACCACATATCAGGCAAGCTAGCCAAAAAAAATATTTAATTGGGTTAAAGTTTGATTCTTTTGGGTCACTGTTGCTCCAGCCTTGGAAAATAACCGCTCAGAAGGCACGAGCGTGGCCATTTTACTCAGATTTGTCAGAAATTACCTTCCGATACTTACGATACGATACTGGCCTCTTGGTATCGATACCAAGTAAATATCGGAACAACCGATACCGATACGATACCAGCAGTATCGCAATAAAAGTATCGATACCTACTGGTATCGATAGTATCGCAACATCCCTAAGCGGTAGCAGCCGAGGCAGCCATTTCACCCTCAGTTCGCCTTGCATTTATCATTAATAATTCGTTATTTACGTAAATACTCACGCGGAAAAGTAGTTTTCCAGTGGATACAGTTCGGTTTTTTCAAATGGAGTGGTTTTCTTCGCGGGATAGTGCGTTATCGACCCATTTCTAAGTGCATCTTTTTATCAGGGGTGTGTTTTTCGTCCCTTGTTTGGTGACGTCTGCCAGATACAACTCTGTGAAAAACTCAGAATATTGAGATTATTTGCTAGGACGACTGGTTTTGGTAAGTATTTGATAGTTTGTGATTTTATTAGTGTTTTATAACTACTTGAATTGCATATTTGTTTGCGAATGAAGAAGTGATCTTGAGTTATTTGACATTTACTGAATGGAATGAATCAATAATACTGGATCTGTTTTGTGTTCCCATTGCATTCTGATTTAGGAACAATTACATTTTTATGTTGATCGTGCAATTTAAAATAGTTAGCCTACACTTTTAATTCATGGGTAATTGTTTTTACAACAGATGTTGAGTATATTTGCCAAAAGGATCTAGAATTTTACTAGATGCAGATCAATAATGTGACATTTCCTTGAATGATTGTCACAAAATTTTTAACTTGTATGATTTTGAGCTTAACAATTTTTCCTTCGAATATGAAAACTAGCTGCTTTTTATAGCTATTATACTAAAGTAATTATTTATATTTCTTTCTATTATAAGGTTAACTTATGGAATTATTTACACAGATGTGTTACCTAGCTCTCTGGTAGACTCCTTTAATGTTGTATATTTCTTTAGGATACCGGTACTGTTCGGTATTTAAAAGAAGATTACATGGACACAGAAAATCTTTTTCAGTAGGCCTAGTCAATTTTTTTCATTTAATAGGCGACATTGTTTTTTAAACATGGAGCAACTTAACTGAATTAAAGTTAATCTATTACCATGGTCTCATGGTAAGACCTAGACTCGAGACCCATTTACTTTTTTGTTTTGAGGTCACTAGAGGCCAAAAACACCATTCGTTAAAATCCATGTACTTATACAGGTCTCGATTATTTGTAAGATTTAGGTGCCGAAATTGAAGCTTTAACCTATAACTTATGTAATGTGATTAAAGTGCCTATGTACCAATTATGTAGGCTACCTACCTATTTGTGACAATATTTCATTGTTCCAAAAGAGAGCTACCGGAAGCTAATCAAGCACTGTGTCCATTAGCGTTATGAGATTCAAGCAAAATCTTCAGATTTTTATTAAACTTAAGGTAAAAACAAGTAACCTACATTTTATTCTGACAAGTTTGTGAACCATCATGTTTGGACTATGGAAACAAGGGTTTATGGGGTAAAAATAGGTTTTCCCATTTTTGACCCTAAAAACCTAATAGGTAACTTAACTTATAGTTATTCCAGAACTTTTTCCATATATTTTGTAGAGCTTAAAAAGATATAATTAAGTAAACTTGTATTGAAATGTTGTATGCTAAACAATTACAAAGATAATTACAAAAACATATAAATTTAAAATTTCCATGTTATTCTTACGGGAGAATAAATAAATTATTGTAGTTTGCTTGTTTATATTTCAATCGAATTTGGCAATTTTATTTATTTTGTACTAAGCTATCAACATTTCATTTAAAAAAACCTTCCCTATAGCAGCAAACCTAAGTAAGTTACTCATTAAAGTTAATGTTATTTAAACAAGAAATAAATCTGACATTTAAGGGAAATTTTTCTAGAAATCCAGCTAGGTAGGTACCGTAAATGAAAATTTTCTTAGTCTGCAGGTTTGCTGTAATGGGGTAGGCTTCTTCGTTCGTTTATGATGTGTTACATGATTCATAGCCATAGCAGGTTAGGAAATGTTTAGAGCTAGTTATAAATATTTAAGTAAAAGTATTAAAGTATATTTAATCTAATCTTTTATAAATCCATGTCCACTAATTTTCATGTAAATATTACAACATTCTAAATCTAATACAGTACTTAAAGCCCATTATTCTGAAACAAATATTTGTCTCCCTAACATAAACTTAAATTTATTTTAGACTTTAGCCATGATGTTACCGGCCTGATTTTCAGAAATAGTATGTCATTGGTATTACGGGTATGTTTGTAATTTTGTTACAATGTTGTGAACTAATTTTAAGGCTCATGTTAACAATAATGTAAGGCAGTAGTCCTATGCAAACAAGCACAATTTTTATAAGAATGAATTACAATCATGCTGAAGATAAAATATCTTAAAATAGTTCTAATTCTGGATTAGTACATTACCTAGGGTCTATATTTAGTTGAAGGAACATGAATTCACAATTCAATTCTCTATATTCATTTAGTAGGTTGTGTGATGATGATGATGGCAACTAGCAATTTTGTTTCTGTTTACAGGTTTCTTAAGACCTCATCATATCGGATGCCAGCGATGACTCGGCTGCGCCGCAAGACCCCCTGGATATGACCAGCGTGGGGATGGAGTGCTACGAAGATATGTTCAAAGAAATCACCAAGAAACTTTACGGAGAAACTGAAATGGAGGCAGGAGAAACCATGAGGATTTTGCAGGAGTATGACGGAGAGACCTTCAAGCTGGAAGAAGGGCATAATTCTTTAAATGCCTTTGGACTTGCCGCATTGGTCCAGAACGGATATTCAACAAATACCATATTTAGTCTGTCCGCTCAACAGGAGCTAGAAAAGTTACAATCTGAAGAGGATACATGGATTGCAAGTGATGAGTCGATACCTTGGACAGAATCTAAAATCGCAAGTTATAACTCCGCCCAAAAGCTTTTCAGGTGCAATGAATGCGAGTGTGTCGGGTTTCTGTCCAGAGTCGCCGAACATTGGCTCGGAACTCATGCGAATCTTAGAGTTTTCCAGTGTCCTCAATGTCCATACGCCAGTGCTTGGGCAAGATGTGTTCGAATGCACTTGGCACGCCAACACAATGTTTCCCCGGATCCCAACCAGGAGTCTCTTACTCTTTGGAAAGAAAATCCTGTTCTTGAAGAAGTCACAAAGTATCTGGAAAGGCTTAAGAATCTAGTCGAAAGCGAGCTGGCAAAGAATCAGGAGAGGGAGGGTTCTGACGAAGAATCTCATCAAAATGCAATGTCTACCCAAACATCAACACCCCCACCTGATTCTCCTCATGGGCAACATTCACTCTCTCCTGTGGATGAAGGAGACGAGGTAGAGCTTCAACAAGATCAAATGCAGGATGATGAAATGCATCAACATGAGCTTCATCAACAACAGCTTCATCAACAAGAACTTCATCAACAAGAACTTCATCAGCAAGAAATTCAAGAACAAGAGCTTTGCCAACAAGAACTTGAACAGCAAGAGCTTCACCACCAGGAAATCCATCAACAACAGCTTCACCAGCAAGAGCTTCATCAACAAGAATTACAGGAGCAAGAACTTCAACAGCAGGAGCTTCACCAACAAGAGCTTCACCAACAAGAGCTTCATCAACAAGAGTTAAACGAACAAGAGCTACATGATCAAGATCTTCAGCAGCATGAATTAGAGCAGGAATATCAGCATCAGGAAATACAACAGCAAGAGCTACATGAGATAGATCAACAAGAACTTCAGGGCCAAGAAATTCAGTTGGCAGATGGACAGATTACTCATGTTATTGAAGAACATATTCAAGTCCCAGAGGAGGTCGCAACCCAGTTGCAACAAATCGCAGCAGCACAGCATGGAGACGGTCATCCTCAGTTGCAGATTGTAATTACCCAGCAAGAAAACCAGGATCTCCCTCCGACAATCCAAATCCAAATAGCACCGAGTTCTGATCTAGGTCCACATTTAGTTTCCACATCACAACAAACAATACCTCTTCAACAAGCCCTATCTCAGAGTCTGGCGACAACGCTTTCCCAGCAGGTGATTGCTCAGGCCGCCCAGACTGTCGTCAATCAACCCATCACTCGACAAATAGTCGTCCAACAACCCACAGTCGTGCAGAGCGCAATAACACAAACAGTAGCTCCTTCACGAACATCGACCATCTCCCCTTCTTCTAGAAGTAAACAAACACAGAGTGAAAACTCCACCTCTTCTACTTCGAAAAGATACAACTGTTCATTTTGCCACTACGCTACAGACAGACGAGACTTGTACACCCGGCATGAAAATATACACAGGGACGAAAAACCATTCCACTGCTACATCTGCCAAAAGCAATTTAATCGAGCGGATCATGTGAAAAAACACTTTTTACGGATGCACAGAGATACTCCTTACGATATACACAAGATCAAAAGAACAATAAACAAAGACAGTTCGAGCTCCAAAAGCGCAATTCAGTACTACTTCCCGAAACCTCAACCAAGACCCGCTCCTGAGCAAGTAGAGACTGTCACAGTTCAAAACATTAGTGTGCCGGGCTTTACGACTCAGAAACCAGAGGACAAGAAGTCTTCCAAGAGGAAACCTGGGGAAAAGCGGTACAACTGTAGTTACTGCACCTGGTCTGGCATGGACAACTGGTGTCTGAAGAGACATCTAAACACCCACCTAAAGCCGTACGTGTGCACATTGTGTGAGTACAAGGCTGCTCGGTCAGAGAGACTGGCGACTCATGTGTTCAAGGTTCACAACAAGAGAGCTTGTTCGAGGTGCAGCTTCCTAGCAGACGACCAAGCACAGCTTCAGCTTCATCAGCAGCAGAACCATCAGTGAGTTATCTTTTATCTATACACATTACTCAGGTATTTGAGCTAAAATTTGATGCTGACAATTTGAACAAACCATATCAAGTGCAGGCCTATTAAAAGCCATGGAGTTGGTAACAGAGAGTTCTCTTGACTTTTTGTTTCAAGTCACAATGATGTTGAGCCATTAGCTTATCCTTTAGGTCTACAATAATTATGGTTTGGGTGAGTTTGAAATGAGTTCAGTATTCTGTCATCAGACATTTTGGCCAACATTTAAATGTTCGTATTTCATCGTTAATTATCCTACAAAGGCTATATAAAGGAGTGTAAATTCAATGGTTATAGTGACAAAATGCACAATAAAGACTCACAAGATTATTTTTCTCAGCTGTTGCTTTAAGCATGCAATCAGCTGTTTTAGAGGCAGGTGGTGTTATTACATCATGTGACATATTTCCTAGGATTTTCAGATGAAGCACCTGTCACAGCTCCTTCCATATCAACATCTGGAGAGGACCCAGGTCCTACAACAGCCTCAATGGGCTCATCACTGTTATATTTTCACATATGGGTATTACACAGTGTTACCAACACAAAATATAAAATCATGTAAGAAAACAAATAATAACACTTAATACAACATGGAATAAAACCTCAAATTTCCCCAATTAAAATTCAAATTGAAACCCCCTAAAATTTCTCACTCACGTCTTGTTAGCAGTTTACATCTTCATTCTAATGAATGCCTGAATTATGGTATTCATAAATTTGTTGTGCATGGCAATTATATTGGTCTTTGGAACTCGTAAAAGTACATTGTTTCAAGGACTGCTCTGTTTTGAAGATGATTTCGAAAGACTATGTGAGCTCTATATTGTTAGTTGGTCTAATATAGATGGAGCTTCTGGCTTTCGAGATAGATCTTGATATACATTCAAATGTATTAGATTATATATCATAAGGTTTTGTTTTCATATTTCATTAATGTGTGTCTTTTACATGCTGCTCACAGTTAGGAAGGCAAGTATTCAACATCATCTGGATTTTGTAGTTTCATTTTTTTTTTTTTTATTGAAGAATAATGTGTGGTTTTTTGTGTCGTAGTAGCACTTATTTTAGTTGCAGGTTTTGAACGGTAAATTTGTGTGCCTCCTTAATGAAATGTTTTAGCAGTAACAATTACAATTCTTTGTGAGTAGTATAAACATTTGATCTATAATCTAGATGTGAGTATTTCTATCAACAAATTGAATGTTTTTACATTACAAATATTTAAGAGTTGATTTTAGAACCTGAAAAAGTAACTGTATAATTTTTATAAATAATTTAGACTCAGTTCCCTTTCATAGTTATGTTAAATAGTGTCAGTGTGAGTAGTGTTAGGAACGGTACTTCATTAAGTTTGTTTTCCTAGTGTTCGTACTTTTAAATGTGTGTTGCCCTGTACAGTTTGAGTATTAACCCTTTGAGGTCAAATTTTTTTCATTTTTCGACGAGTATAGGTTGCCAATTGAGCAGTCGGGAAAATGGCACCCAGCGACCTAAACTCCCCATTCAACCACAAAGATAAACTTTGTTATTTTAGATTTTTCTTTTTTGTGAGTATAGGTTGCCATTTTCGAGCAGTCAGAAAATGGCTGTTGGCGACCTATAATTGCCATTCTACCGCATCTTACCGTATCTTTTTAGTCGAAATCACGTTTCTCCTCGTGCAGCTAGTAGCATCGTTTATTGTTTCTAGTTAGGTTTGGCATTTGCTTGTGTCTTTTAAGACATAGTGTTTTGAATTCGTTTTTTGATTGGTTGTCAAATCAGTTTCGGTTAATTTTAGCATTTCGATAATTAGTATGTTGTTTCGAAATAGTTGGCCCTATCAGTGATATAAGTACTGTAATTCAAATCCTCATTACACAGCCTTGTAAAATTCGTGAATAAGCAGCTAGCTGTCAGTTCTGCACAAAAATGCACTCATTTCTTTCTCTAAATAGTTGTCTCTGCCTCCAACGAGGAGGTCGACGAGTGGACACGAGCAAATAAGCAGCTGATATGCACGCTAAATAACGACAAGGCTATGTAGATGTACTCACCAATACACAAGATCATCAACTAATCAAAATGTCCCTGTGTTATAAGAAAACAGTCCGTGAGCTACTGAAAATGTTCGCTGGACTAATAGTGGAATGTTCGTCCATTTTTTATTTTCGCGAACAGTGTTCAGCGGACATGTTCGGTTGAGGGAGACGGGGCTTTAGTGTTTTAACTTTCTCTTATTTGATCAGTTTCATAGGAAAAAAATCCTTGAGGAGTACAACAGGACTCCAACAATCCGAACTCTTTTAAACCGAATCCCCAACTATCTAAGATTGATTTTTTCCCGAAGAATATAATTTAAAATCACAGCACAGTGAAGTGACAGCAAAGTCGTAAACATCGTCATCCTTTGTGATTGTGGGGCCACCACCACAGAAGAAGTCCATGACGTAACAAAATAACAAGGGTTCCTGTGGTGTAGGGATATTCTAAAATTTTTCTTTAAACATTTAAATCATGGTAAAACAATAATATTACAGTACTCAATACTCCCAAACAAAACTGATTCGATATATTTTTTTAAATTGTAATCACTATACTATAATCACACCTATTTTGTCGGTTATTAGCGAATTTCCCTATAGGGAAGTAGCTATTACCGTAGGTGGCACGGTAAGACCTAGACCCGGGACCGATTTACTTTTTCATTTTGATGTCCCCAGAGGCCAAAAACACTATTCGTTCAAATTTTTATATATGTATAATTGCAAGAAAATAATATATATATATATATATATACGTCCGTGAACGCGATAACTTGAGTAATTTTTGTCCGATTTTGATGAAATTTGGTTTAAAGGTGTAAAGCGGGATAAACTTGAATGAGTTCGCGAACCAGCACGATCGGACCATGGGAACGGGGCTTTACGGAAGTTATATGGGGTAAAAATTGGTTTTTCTCACTTTTGACCCTCAAAACACAAAATTTCCCAATTTCTCTTTAGACCTTTTTAAAGAGCTTAAAAAAACAAATAATTTAGTATATAAAAGTATTTTTGTTCGATTATTAGTAACGGAGAAAATTAAAAAAATTGTAAATTTAAAATTCCCATGTTATTCTTATGGAGAATATTGTCAAATGTTGTAGTTTGCTTGTTTATGAATATATTTTGATCAAACTTGGCAAATTTATTTATTTTGAACTAAGCTATCAATATTTTACTCAAAAACACACTTTATTAGTTTCCTTGTAGCAGCAAACCTAGCTACTCGTTAAACCTAATGTTATTAAAATATATTTAACTGAAAATCAATTCAGACAAATGGAAATTCGCTTAGTCGGCAGGTTTGCTGCGGCGGGGGTATTTATTAATGTTTATATTAATTTACCAGCAAATTAAATGTGAAGTAAATTGAAAATTGTTTTTTTTACAAGAGGATTAAACTCGTAAAAGCTTTTAACTACAATATGTTTTTTTGAAATTGAATCAACAACTTTTTTACGATTTGATTTTCCTGTTTCAGCTCTAACTATTGCAGACCACAGACGTTTGAGAGGCAACTTCCAAAAGGGAATGAAAACATTAATTTTAAGTAAGTTCTACTTGCTGATTTAAGTTTTATCACCTTTAATAAGGATCATTTCAACTATTAAGACCAATTTGGCCGTGTTGGGATCTCAAATACTTTCTTTTAGGGTTTAAACTGAAGCCATGATTTCAATTCCAACTAAAGAAACTGTGGTAAGCTACCAAAGAAGGCATTTGTTTTCTATCAAGGACTGTACCACCAAATGTTAAATGACATTAGTAAGCTGAATAATTGAATATCCCCGCTGAACAACTTTGCACACAACATTGAAATTGAGATTTTTAAAAAATTACATTTTTTACTCCATGGGATATTTAATTAATATGTCATCCAAACGGCTGAATGGTTATAATTGTTCACAAGGTCTCACGATCAATTCTTGGAAACAGTACGCACCTGTCATCAGAGTTTTCCAACTAGCTGATATACCTAACCTATATTTTCCCCAATGCCTTTTAGTAAAGTGAGGAGTTTATTCATCAATACAGAGAATATTATTTCAACTTGGGAGTTATTATTTCCCACATACGGAATAAGCTATTACCGTCATGGTATGACCAGAACACAGTACCGATTTACTTTTTCGTTTAAATAATCTCACTGGCCAAAAACTCCATCCGTTCAAACTCATATATAAATGTGTGTCCATTAATGCGACAACTCTAACAGCTAGAACTACTACAGCTAGAACTTTGATGAAATTTGGTATAAACATGTAAACCAACATTATTCATCCGAACGAGTGCGCAAACCAGCTTAAGCTGCTGGGAATGGGGTAAAATTTATGATTTGAGTGAAAATCCAATCAGGCAAATGGAAATTTGCTTGGTCTGCAGGTTTGCTACAACATGGGTATTTAATTTTATAGATAGATGATCAAACAGTTTAAGTTGAACCACTCAGTCCCAGAGTTAAAACTTAACTAAAAACTATTACCGATTCCTAATATTTTATCTGAAGTCCCCAGGGAGAGGTCCTTAGTTCTAACCACTATAGACCATGAAAACCAATACCCCCCCCCCCCCTCTGCTTAAACATTCCAATGCCTTCGTTTTAACATCTTGGAAAGTAACTTAGCAGGAACTATGGACGCAGGAAACTAGAAAATTTTTGAAGCATATGTTTTCCAAAACAGTTGTGTTATTTTAAAATGTGGAAATTAATGTAGCGGTAAGAGTATAAGGTGGCAACACTTAGTTATAAATGCACCAAGACTTCAGGGTTATGGAAACCCGCTGATACTGATTACCTGGGGAAATCACTCCCACCCTGACTTTGACCATTTAGTGAATTTCCCTATAGGGAAGTAGCTATTACCGTAGGTCTCAGGGTAAGACCGTATTACTTTTTCATTTTGATGTCCCCATCTATATGAGTGTCCGTGAATGCGATAACTTGAGTAATTTTTGTCCAATATTTTGATCAAATTTAGTTTCAAGGTGTAAGGCGGGATTAACTTGAATGAGTTCACGAACCAGCATGATCTGACCATGGAAATGGGGTTTTACGGGGGGAGGGGGGGGGGGTTCATGGGGTAAAAATGGGTTTTTCTCATTTTTGACCCTTAAAACACAAAATTTATCAATTTTTCTCCAGACCTTTTTAAAGAGCTTAAAAAACAAATTATTAAGTTATCAAATTATTTTTGTACAAACGGTTATTGGTTACGGAGAAAATTGAATAAGTTGTTCATTTAAAATTCCCAGGTTATTCTTATGGAGAATATTGTAAAATGTTGTAGTTGGCTTGTTTATGGATATATTTCAATCAAACTTGGCAGATTTAGTTATTTTATACTAAGCTATTAATATTTTAGTAAAAATACACTTAATTAGTTTCCCTGTAGCAGCAATCCTAGGTAGGCCTACTCGATAAACATAAATGTTAATTTAATAGATTAATTGAAAATCAATCCAGGCAAATGGAAATTCACTTAGTCGGCAGGTTTGCTACAACGGGGGTATTGTTTTCATGATTTCTTGGTTTCAATTCAATGCTATTCAAATCAGCTGAGTAACTTTGCTATTATTGAAACTCAGAAATATTACCAACTGATTTTTTTTCTTCTTTGTTTACTAAAATGGCCGACTTGGTTTACTTTTGTTTCATAAAAATGAATTGCACAGTTTTTTGTTCAACTCAACAATACCTGCACCCAAATCAGGAAAGTAGTTCTGAATCATTCTGTTCTTTCTAGCTCCTCCAGCAAGATGGAGATCACCAGAAGGTATTCCGTCAAGACCCCTTCTCACCTACCTCCGCTCGAAGTACAACGAATCCTAACCTGTATTCTGTGTGGGATGCAGACGAACAGCCAGAATAAAATGCTTCATCATATGGCGTTTCATTCCAACTCCAAACCCCTAAACTCCTACAACTCCAGCGATGATGAAGACCTGCTAGAAATACCTCTGCTGACGATTATAGACGAAGACGTCGAAAATGAGATCGACTTGAAACAAACTTTGTGGAGAAAATATAAACTGAAAACCCGCAAACAGACATATTGTGGTCTCTGTCGAAGTACAAACTCAAATTCCCCCCGGTTCAGCAAGCCTGGCTTCGCCCGCCATTATTTATTTTGCCATTCCAAAAGGGCTTACAGTTGTTCATTGTGTAGTGATAATTTCAGACATAGATATCAAGTCGAGTTGCATAAGAGTTTTAAGCACAATTAATATAAGTTTTTTCTACTTGTGTGTTATTTTCTTTAGTGAGCAAATCAATGTGCATACCATATATTAGTTACCTTCTTTTATTTTTTTAAGTTTATGTATGTTTTTATATTCAATATTTTAAGCAACGAGTTTGTATTTTAAATGTTTATTTGTTGATTATGTATTTTATTTGTTAATTGTTTATAAATATATCATAAGTGGTGATTACAAATTTTAAGAGTGGTGTAAGTAAATGTAAGTGTGGATGTAACTTATTTTCATATAATTTCTTAATGATGAAGTGAAAAGCTGTGAAGTTCTATCACGGAATAAGTTGATCAGAAATGGTAAAGTCATTTAATACCTTAGGTTAGTTTTTTTACAATTTTAACCAAAGTTGTTTAAACCAAGAGAAAATCATCAAACACTCGTTTAAAAAAAGTATGTTGATGAAATATTTTATTTTAAGTTTTGTTTTAATAACTATACTGTATTTTGTTATTTACTTCAGCTATTATTTTCCCAAAACTTTTAATTGATTTCCAGGAGGTTAGGCTACTAACGATTTGATATAATGGGCATTGGTTTGTGTTATCAATATAGGCATGTTAAAAATATTATCTTTGAGACTATCATTAGGTTTAAAACCCTCAGATTAGTGTATTTAACAAGTTATAGAACTATTCTGTTTATTTAATTGGTTTAATTAATGTTTATATCACTTTGGCACATTAGTGGAGGTGAAATTCACAAAACATTGAAAGTGGGTCTATACATATTCTCAACCATCATTTAAAGTGCTTGATAAATCTCTCTCACACTTCAAAAATGGTCTCAAATAATGACTCACATTCTACACTTGTTGTGAAATAATAGGCCTACTATTGCCTCTTGTCTATTGAAAAAATGACTTTCAAAAACATGGTCTACTATATGCATATCTATAACACTTGCAGGTGATTTTTATAAAACACTGACTCACTACTCCTCCATTAAAAATTAAAATTATTTTTACAAACCAAAAAAAAATGTTTTGTTTTATAAAATTTCCCATATAGGTAGGGAATAAGCTATTTTTATGTACACTATCCCTTTTACCAATTATTGTTACCAATAATCTAGATCAATTAAAATTTGTTTACCGTTTATAATTATTGGACCTGCCGCCTCTGAATTGATCTTAAAACTGTTAATAGATTTAAAAGTCCAAATTTATGTAAATTTGAGATTTGTTAAAAGTTTTAATATTAAACTGTGTACCTACAACTATTGTAATTAAATGTTGTTTGATGTTGCTTTTAATTTATTTTAAAGAAACAACAATAATAGTTGTAGCCAAACATGTTTTAAAATTATTTTACTTTATTCTTGGCCATTTGCATGTATTAGCTTACAGTATTTCAAAAAGTATTTATGTATTTTTAACTGTATATAAAAATGGGATGCTAACAAACTTGAGAAATGGTGTTCTAATGCTTCTGTAAATAGAAACTTTTTTCTAAAAAATTGATTTATGTCCGTGTAAATCATACTGAGTGTTGTCAGACATACCGATACCAAAATTGTATGATAAATAACTGTACAATAGAAAGTTTAATAAATAATTTTGTTACTCTTGTTAAAAATAAAAATTCTGTTTGTTTATTCCTTTAATCCTTGTCATGGTAAGTAATAAGATCTTAACATACCTAATTAATTATGTCCACCCCCGTGTGAAGCATTTGCACTGAATCCTTCTCAAATCCCACTTATTGAAATACACACGATGTCACGATGTACAGTAAATACTGTGTGGTAAGTGCATAGTTTACCTATACCTATATATATGTACCTATATGAGTCCTGACTTCAGGAATAGATGTAGGTTTACATGTTAGGTAATTAATATTTTTATGTTATAAGTTGTTTACTTATTGTATTTTTACAGGACCTCTTTGAACACATACAGGGTGTCCCGGAACTCTCTACCAATATTTTAGGGCATTGCTCCTGGGTAAGAAACATACCTAAATATCATATTTAAATTGTCCGGAAGTCCTTAGTTACTCACACAGCCGCCATTTTGTTTTTTTCAGTTATTAATTTTTTTTGAAAGAATGGTTAAACATAAGAAATGGAAACTTTGCACAAACATTTATGACAACTAGACAAAGCTACCAAAAAATATGAAGATTTTTCAAATTCATAAAATAAAATGGCGGCCGTTTAAAATTTTTGTAAAATCAATGGTTTTCGAGTTATTTAAGAAACAAAATTTTAAACGGCCGCCATTTTGTTTTATGAATTTGAAAAATCTTAAAAATTTTGTGGTAGCCTTGTCTAGTTGTCACAAATGTTTGTGCCAAGTTTCCATTTCGTATGTTTAACCATTCTTTAGAAAAAAATTAATAACTGAAAAAAACAAAATGGCGGCTGTGTGAGTAACTAAGGACTTCCGGACAATTTAAATATGATATTTAGGTATGTTTCTTACCCGGAAGCAATGCCCTAAAATATTGGTAGAGAGTTCCGGGACACCCTGTATGTTTTGATATGGCCATATACGATTTTTGTGTTGATGGCTTTGTTTTAGTTTTTTTAAGACATACTTAGTTTTCACTGAAAAAAGCGCACCCTTGACAAAGACACAAAAACTGAATGTGTACAAAAATAGGGTCTGGCACGTGCAAGTGCATTCCTTCGTTAGAGTCACGGCAAAGGTAACTTTTAAGGAAAAATTTCTTCTTTTAGTCAGTTTGAAAGGATTTCGGACTATTGCGTGGTATGACAGTTGAAGGGCTTAGGAAAGCTCGAATGCAAACAACAGAGCGTTCTAGTTCTATCTCCCTCCCTTGGTAAAGAACCGAATCATGATACAAACCGTTTACTGTCGGTAACAAAATCAACACAACATAACCATTTATTGAACCCTGTAGTAAAGAAAAGATAAGAGATGATATTTTGAGGATCGAATTCTTAAATATAGGCCTACTAATATATATTATTGGTAGGTATGTCAAAAAGGAAGGCTAAATGGAAAAATGTAGGGGTGGTATGGTTAATGAAGAAATATAAAAGCTAAAGAATCCATGTGGTACTTACTTTTGAGTCAATTGTTCTTGTTTAGACTTCTTTAAAGTGAATAGGAATAGGCCGATTTCATCTCCAGGGTTATTTACCATAGAAAGCACAGACTAGCTTTTGTTGTTGCCATAGTTGAATTAAAAACAAAACACTTTATATACTCAGATTTGAGAAATAAATATTTGTTTGTTTTGATTCATTCAATTCACATGTTCCAGCTGATCAACGTAAATAAACATTTAAGTTTAAATTACTTGCATAATGATAGGTCCTTTAAAAAAAAAACTTTTAGAAAAAAAAGTGATTTGTTTTTTATTTGTATACTTCCCCATGTAGTGGATAAAAGGAGCTTTAAAATGACACCTCATTTGTAGAGATTGGAAGTACTTTAATTTACATATAAATATATAATAAATATATGTATATATGTTGTCTGTAAGTGAAAGCTATGTTTAATAAAGTGGTGTAGGTAATATAAATGATTTACTTGTTTTGTTAGCAGCATAGACGAGACCTCAGACAGCGACATACACTTACATTTTTCATTATTGGTAACACTAGAAGTCTTGCAAGATACAGTCAGTGACAGATATCATTTTTTAGTTCCTCCATTAGTATTTTTTAATAACATCTAAATAATTGCCTGATCATGGTGAATTGCTCAATTGCTGTATTTCTGTGTCCAAAGATGACGTCCAAACGTTTCACTTGAAGTTCTCTGTTTCATCAAAATAAATCTCTGGGTCAAGTGGGGCCCAAGTTTACATCCATCTGTCCATTATACACAGATATATTTTGTTAAAATATGCACATAGGTGGCGTTCCCATCTCAAATGATACTAATGCTACCGTCAGCCACCACTCTCCCTGGAAATATAAAATGTATGATTTGTCTTAGAACATGTTTGAAATAAAAGACCAGTGTATGAAGACTATTTTTATGAGCTTTTCAAATTTAAAACTCCGATACATAACGCTAGTCCAAAACCCCCTCACCACCTAATGCCGATGAAACAATAAAAAGGTTCGAAACTGGACCCAGCTGTCCGAGATCGTTTGACTTTAAATAAAAATGATCTTGGCTAATAAAACAGCCAATCTTAGTCAGTTAACACTAAATAGTAACACAGATCATCTCGAGAACTCCATTCTACACTTATGTTTGGGTTAAAATACGCACCTGGGTTGTGTCCCCATCTCAATTGAAAATGATAACAAATGGGTACCGGTAAATAAAGTATAATGGCTTTAAAAATATAATTATTATACCCATTGATATAATTTTTTATCCTTTGTAATTATAACCAAACAATATTATAGTTCATACGCTCTAAATAATTATTATATTTATTTCCATACAGGTATCATTATAAAATCAATGCTAAGCACCTCAAATAGTTAAGGAAGCTTCATGGCATCACAGCCAAGTTCTCCTACTAGAAGAGAGTTTTTGGTTTTACCAAGACGCAAACGTAAACTTACGTTTCTGGTCTCCCTCTAATCCAAAACAAAACAACTGTCATGGTTTTATTCCACAGTCCTTGGAATAATGTTGTAATGTTTTTAGTTTTAGGTTATGCTGATCGAACAAAGTGTTGTTTCTCTTTCACTGCAAACACTGGTTTATGACCAAAATTCTAAATTTGTTGACTTTCGTTCTTCAATGTATTGTCAGTGTTAATATGTGTGTGCATCTTATATCAGTGACTCACATCTCTTAGTAGTATCTATAAACTTTTAACTTGTAGACCTAGGACCTAATCTTTGCATCAGAATAACACCAGACTACTAACTACTACTTCTTGGTATTTTATCATGGATTTGATGACGAAGAAAGATGTTGATAAAGGTAAAACCGTTATGGAATCAGCTTTGTTTAAGACTCCTTCAATACCAACAAAGAACGTTATTAAAAAAGTACTAGATGAAGAAACGTATCTTAGCGAAATGGGGAAGATAATAGAAAGGGATTTCTTTCCTGATTTGGAAAAGTTAAGAGCTCAAAATGATTATCTGGAAGCCTTGGAGAGAAATGATATCCAAAGAATAAGAGAATTGTACGCCAAGTACAGTTCCGGTAGGGCTCCGTCACGCAATGACTATGCAAGCCCTGCCACTTTCGAAACTCCAATTGACAGTAGACCTAGTGATGATGACGCAAGGCCATCCTCGCCCATAGACACAAGGGATCCAGAAGAAATCATAAATTCTGTTCAGACTCCAAACATCAATGAGAGTAAGCCTAAGCTTAGGCTAGACAGCTATTTAAACAGCCACACCAGTGAAGACAATCAGAGTTTCCAAGAAATTATCAAAGAATCGGAAATCCAACACAGACAGAAACATTCCTGGTTGTACAAAGGAGAAGAAATGAATGAAACTAAAAGCAAAACTTTAATGCTTCCCTCTATTGAAGAACAAGCCTCTATCAAAGACCGTCCATTCAATCTTGATACATGGACTTTCCGAAGTAAAAACTATATTATGTATGTTCCTGATGGCGTAGACCTAAGTGACAGTGAGAAAATTGAGCTAGCTCATAAAAAGCAGGAAATTAACCACAGCAGCACTAGACTCGCAAAATGCCCTTTTGATGAAACTCAAAACAAAGAAACAATACAAGGATTAGCCATCAGCCAGTCTCGAGTTCATGAAGGAAAGATTGGTGTAGATGGGAAAGAATTAACTTTTAGTGATACTCCCAAGGTAAATGGGTTTAGCTTTGTTAAAACACCTTCTCCAGCTCCTGGTGTGAATGAATCACCTTTAATGACCTGGGGTTGTATCGATGGCACTCCATTTCGATTGGATGGTGGAGACACTCCATTAAGACCTTCAACAGGCCCATCGTTCAAAATTCCTGAACCTCCAAAGAGAGAAAAACTTGCTTTGGCTCTTGCCGAAAAAGCCGGCGAGAGGCACAGAGATCGTAAGAAAAAAGCTTTACTGGCAGCTCAGAGACAATTTGCTTCACCCTCTCCGAATCGCTCGTCTGGAAGTTCCCTTGACAGACTAAATTCTATGTCTCCAGCTGCTCAAAGACTAGCGTCCACCCAATTGAAGAGGATAGGTTCTGATCGATCTTTACAAGCTTCCTACAGCCCTGCTAGACAAACACCATCGCCTTTGACCCCATCTTCTAAGACGCCTAGAACCCCGAAGACTCCGATTCCATCTTCTAAACAAAGTGCAAGTTCTACTCATGTATTAACTCCAAAGAGAAGTCAAAACCTGACAGACAATCTTCTTAATCTACCTAAGAGGCCTAGAGCCGCTGATTACTTTTAAAATATGTTTTACAATTTCATATGTATAATACTCAGAAATCTAAAAACTTTTAAGCTGCATCTCTTTAAGAAAAATCAATACCTCTTTATATTCTACTGTAGTCAGTAGCCCTACCAATTTATTGTAACTTACCAGAATTTCTTTGGCAGAAGATAAATTCTTAGGCTAAGCCTATTTCTGATTTTATTACAAAGACTGAATTAATTTCAAAGAGGAAAATGTGTACATATTACAAATTGAGGATTATTGTATGGACACAACATGAAAATATTTGTAAATATAAAAAATGCTGTGAAGAAATACATTTTCTTATTGGTGGTAAGTTTTATTCATATTATTTTTATTTACCCAACGAACTTGCCTGATCTAAGCCTACCGTACTTACTTTAGGCTACTGTTAGCAATCTTTAAGATACCCAAGTTAAGTTCAAGGCCTAGTTAAGTTAAGCTTTTACTCATAAGCTTAAAGTTCTTTTAAGTTTTATGTTCAGCAAGTAAGATTGGAAGAGATCGGATTCTTACGAGCTGTGTTCTAAAGAACTGTAGTTGTGCGGCTTTAATCAAAAAATTATTAAAGAGCTGCCAATATTTGTCAGGTGGCATTAAGTAAACCCTACAGCTTACCGTAGTTTTAATAAGCCTTAGAGTTATTCCAAATCACCAAATTCACTATGACGTAGTACTATAACTTGATCCTTTTTTACAAAATTGCAAGCTACAGTACCGGTAATAAAAGTATTTTTGAAGTATAAAGGTATAGGCCTAATATAAAACTACTAACAAATAGTAGGCCTACCTAGTTTTCTAAAACTATTGTTGTTTTCGATATTGCTTGCTTAGCCTATATAGCCTATTTTTAAAAAAGTAACCCCAAGAAAATATAAAACCATAACTAATAAAATTACTTAGGCTTAGTTAGAAGAATCCCACAATTTTTAGGAAACTATGAACATGCCACAAATTCTAAATCAAAAACTGTTCATACAATTGAAATAATGTGTAACTTAATACCGGTACCCGTGGATAGGCCTGACAACAAAAAAACACCTCTTGTCAAAAAACTACCTACTGAGAAATCTATTATTAAATCATCTAAGTATCAATAATGATTTAATCAGTAAAGTTGAGGTTAGTGTTAGGTCAGAATTAATGGCAGTGTTCCATTGATGATTCACTTAAAGTTATTTGCTTATTCAAACGAAAGCAACATATGATTCAAGTGATGTACGTTCTGAAAACATCCAAGGCTATTTGGTGATGTGGTTGATAGTATTGATTAAAGCACAGGTGTGGTACTGCTTATCACTCTGTTTACTTGGTTTATCAGTTTTAACAAATTGATAAGGCATACTCTCAAGCCTAAATGATTCAACTCAAATAGAAATCACTCTTAACACTGTGTGATTTGATCCTGTGTTATTAGGCTACTGTTGAAACTGTAAGTATTGAATAATTAATTAGGCCTATGTACAGGTGTGTTTTATCAACGTTGGTCATTTATTATTTGCTTGATTTAACTTTTATTACCTTTGGAAGATAGTTGTTTGTATGTAAATAACTATTTTTGTTACAAAAAAATCAAATAAATCTAACTTACAAAATATCAGCTTCTAAAAATAAATTAATTTAACTATGTTTTCTTATCATGATTGGTTTGGTGAAACTTTACATACATTCATCTACAATATTAAAATACGGAAAACATTCTTTATCAATCAATTCACACACCTACAAAAACAACATTAAAGAAATCAAAATCCATGCCATAGGTGTAGGTAAAGGGCATACCGGTACGTTTTCTGTGCTCAATAAAAGTGTTAGTAGGTAATTATAACTTTCATAGTACACATAGTACTAAAAAAATGTTTAAAATGTGTTTCATAGTACACATTTTAAACTTTTTAACAAGCTGTACCTAATCTAAGCCATCTTAATTTGTTTTCTTAGCCGCTGTAAAAAATATGAACTAAAATACCTAAACATTGGAAACAGATTTCTTATCTTTATCTTGGAACTTAGATGTATTTTATTACTATTAAATTAATACCGTTTATAGATGGAGACTTATCTGAAGAACCAGGCAAAGTTGGCTCAATGTTATTTTTGCGGAGAAGAAATGCCTGCCTCCCAGCTGGAAGTAAGTTTTTGTAAATCTATAGAATGAAAAAGCTCTTAAGCATGTATTTTTTATATTAGTCCGTAACTTTGGTTTCACGACAGGACCTTTCTCTTCAGGGGGGTAACGTTCTGTAGCATCGAGAGTTGTTTCAAAATCTCCCTAATTTTTTAGAATACTCAACAATGTTAGGCCTAGAGAGCTTCGCTTCAGTGAGAATCCACCTACAGATTTTTATTGATTTTATGGCCGATTTAGTTTTCTAGCATTTATTAATAATCTAAATGTAGCCTTTACCTAACACGGCAGTGGAGCAGAGCCATATAAACCCTTTAACACTTAACTGCCCAATATATCGGTTATCAAGAGCAAAATAACTAAAACTTCACTTACAACTAATCTATGCAAGCTCAGCTTTTAACAAAAACATCAGAAAGCAGTATCTGACCAGTGCTGCAATCTAGGAGTCATTAACGGAAGTAGGTACCACACTTGGCTGGTTTTACAAGTGTTTTCCTTTGGTAACCTGTTTTATTTCATTAATGGCCAAGCGACTAAGGTAACTCCTTTGTCAAAAGAAATCACCTAAGATCGAAGGTCTGAATGCTGTCAACTACTGTATGTTTTGCAACTCACAAGGATTCTCCTGTCTCCCACATAAATTAAACACGAGACAGTTTAGATGGTAGTTCATAGGATGTAAAACTGTAAAATTTCAATACTAGGCCACAACAATACCGAGAACAAAATTCCATATACTTTTTCATCCAACTCAGTGGTCTTATTAAATTACTGTCACCAGATGCATGTGAAGCACTGTGGTTGCGTTTTGGAGCCTTGTCCGGACAAGTGCGGGCTTTACGTCCAACGTCAATACAAGAACCATCACGCCAACTGGTGCAAGAAAGATGGAGGAAAACAACCCCAACAGCTGGTGAGTCTCAATACTTAAAATATTAAATGTACTTGGTTACAATTAACATAACACAATTAATTTTTGATTTTGATGATTTACAAAAATGACACAGCCCATCACCCATCACAAATAGGCTATTTAACACCTTAACCGCGTGGGGCAGGAAATCTCGACCTGCGGTAGTGGCACCACTGGGACGGTGGCGGGAAATGTCCTCCCATGCCAACAACCTTGCTTAAGTGTAAGCTTAGCCTCGTACGGGGAACGTTGTGTCCGCTTATAGTGCCAGTATAATTCGTTTTCAGATCCGACTATTTTATCAGTGGTGGGGGCTGTTCCAAATTTAGTTAGTGTGTGGTTTTGGCTTGGATTTAGTGAAATTTAATAGAATAACGGATAATTATTGTAATGAAGCATTGTGGATGGAGCATAACCTTAAAATTATACTCAACACCTTTTTTGCAGCATTTTTCTATGGTGTATCTGGGTTTTTAGCTTCTGCTTTTTTTCCTCCATTTGGAAATACTGAGAGTCTGCTTGCAGTATTGTTTAGTGCTGCTATCTGTTGGGTTCTTGCATAACTGTAACACAGTACATGCGCACTCAACCACGCAGCGCATAAGCTGTTCCCGCCACTGGCCACCACGCAAAAATTACGAGTTTTATAAACCCCCTTCCATATTGTAAGCCTTGATTTCTTATGTTTGTGAAATTTTTAACACTAAATACACCGCACTAATTCCTCCTATCAGAATAGCGTCGTTTTCTTCCAACTAGGAAATGGTATCATAGATAGCCTAAAACATACTCTCCTAGTAGATTTCACATCCTTATGGAACAGCTGAAGACAATTTTATTGTTAGTTCTATACGGTTTATGTAGAGGTCGTGTTTTGTTTACGATTTGTTTCCCGTTATCACAGTTGGGTTTGTTTGTTTGAGGTTTTTGCCGAAGCAATCTCGACACCTAGAAGCATCGGTCCACCCAAATTTAAAACCCAAATTAAAAACCAATTTAAATTACTTAAATTTAAGTAATTTAAAACCTCGTTTAGCCAAATAATACGATCTAATCACAAACAATAACTTGTCCCCTAGTTATATAACCAAACAGTAAAGCACAAATCAAGAAATTAACCCTAAAATAATGGAAACAAAATTTTGGCAGCACTAGCGCCCAGTCTCACCGTACATGAACTAGACACGAAAAACGTGCTTCAAAATTTACAATGGGATGAGAAGTCTACTTGTGTTGGTTAGTCTATGATAGTATCTAAAACATGAGGAAAGTGAGGTATGAGTGTGGACAGCTAAAAGGCTTCCAAGGGCTTGCATTAACGCATGCGTTGATGCATGTTGAATGGTACGTTAAAATTGAAAGCGCACGAGTGTGGACAGCTAATCAACAGTCAACACTCATCTCTTACTCAACTTTGCCATAAAATACTCACGATGGCACATTAATTTAATCTGCTTTCAGGTGAAAAGTGAGCTGGAGTCGCTCAAAGATAAACTTGATCAAGAAATAAAAGAGAGGAAACTTCAAACAGAGGAATACATGAAACAGTTGCAAGTATATCAACAAAAGATGGAAAAAACTGAAGATTTAAATATGAAACTTATAGATGCTGTTACAGGTAATTCTTTTTTATTTTTAGATTTTAAAAACTATTTTCAGGTAGTGCTTTATTTTACTTTTTTATAGCCACCACAGTAGAACAACGGGGCTGAATCTGTGGCTGTTTATCGATTTGGCCGGATAAACCAATCTATATAAAAACGATAACTTACACATAATACACATTACACATAATAATATACATACGCACATAATAATACTTAAACAATATGTGTAGGTTTGAGAGGCCCACTTAAATAAAACTATCACTGGCTCGGTTAGAATTAGACAGGATGGGTAATTTATAGTTGTGAGTTGCACCACAAACCAGGCAATATGCCACTTGTTGGTTAACCCTACTGTAAATCTGTCTCTCTAAAACTTGTTTAAAATCATTTAGATTTTTGTCTTCATCGGATGATCGAAATCCATCAAAAAAATCTGAATGTAAGTTATATATAACTTGATAATAAGTAGGTAGGGCCTATGTTAAACCAGTAATATATTCAATAATGTTGTTGCAGGTATCAGAAATCTGGTCTCAGAAGAGCAGTGTGCGAGGCTTAAGGATATTTTAGAAGTAAAAACAAATGTTAGTGAAGTCGCCAAAGTAGTAACTCAGTTAAAATTCACTCTTAACCAGGCAAGAGTGGACGTAGAGGAACTAAGAAATGAAGTCCTGACAAACGAACAATACGAGAAAATGTACGATCAGTTCCAAGAATGGAAGAAGAAACAAGACGAGATTGTTTGTGGCATCAAGTCAACTATTAGTAGAGACGTGCAGACTGAAATCAACAGACTGCACAAGGATAACATTATAAGGAGTAAATCTGTCAACGACTTATTGGACTTGAATGAAGTCATTATCGACAACCAAGACACATACACAGAACAAATATATCATTTAGAAATGGAAGTGAATGGTTTCAAAAAGTTTTTAGCTGAAGAGAACGTGATGATCAGTGGTCTTTGGAGGGACCAACTGGAAGAAATTAAGAGGATTGGAGAAAAATTTGAAGAGAACGATAAAGCTATAAAAGATCTATTCGAAGAACAAAAGCAAATTAAAGAGAAAGTTGAACAGTTTGAAAGTTTTACAAAGGATTTAAACAACATCAATTTTGGAAATGAGAAAGTTAAGATTTTAGAGCGAACTGTTAGTCAAGATTTAATTCAGGAACTGATAGATGACAGAAAGGTTTTTAGAGAAAGACTCGAAAGTTTGGAAATGTTGAATAGGCCGGGTGAAAGAACGTTCAGCACGGACACTTCAATGTCTGAATTTGACAGTACGATTGCTAAACAACAAAATGAAATTGCCCAGAGGTTGGAAACCTTAGAGAAGCTCACTACAGAAATACAAAATAACTGCAGCAAAAGAAATTCTTCTTCTACAAACAACGAACAAAACGACCTCCCCATAGTGATAAATGAGCTTTCAAGCGAACAAGCTGTCATAAAACGTAGGTTGGAAATGTTAGAAGTTGTAACGAATGAGTTGGAAGAGGTGAAAAGTAGACTGTCTCAAAACAGACGGATTAGAAATGATTCACCAGTCTCTATTAACGGTAAAGTATGATAATTACACTTTTAACATGAACAGTTGTTTGCACTTGCACAAATGCAATATTAACATCACTGCTGTTTGAAATATTTCAACCATGAAATTTAAATTAATATATGTTTATAGTTTAGTTTGTAGTTGAAATTGATGAAGTTCAGCTTATAATAAAAGTTGAAGATTATTTGAGAATACATTTAGTTTATCAACAAGTCAACAAGTTGCACTAGGCAAAAATAATAAGGCAAAAATAAAAGATAGATCTTGTCACAATACTAATCAATGTCCTTTTTTCATTTGAAACCATTTGTGTAAAGAATTAACGATGTTGACATATTTCCTTAAATTCCTGGTATCTATTTTCTCAGTTAAGCTACCTGAATTCTATTACTTCGAGGAAAAACTTACTAAACCTGGTTTTCCTTAAGCTAAAAATACTTTGGTAAGATAAATTTTATATTCACCTCAAACTAACTTATCCCTGATCATGATTGATGTAAATTTAATCTGTCCAGGAAGACTTATGTGGACAATTTCTAACTTCAACGCAAAGTTGGAGGAATCAAAGGAGAGCAAGTCACAGATTGAAAGTCCATGTTTCTACACGAGTGATTGTGGTTATAAGCTGCAGGTAATTTATTGTTTATCACTGCTACAGTAGAGTCATGATAGTCCGAAATGGTTGGGACCGGACCGATTTGAATTACCAAATATTTTGGATTAAGCAAAATGTTATTCTTATTTATTTTATAATTTTTTTTAGAAAGTAAATAAAAGAAACGTCTTATAACACTTGAAACATATATTTACGCTTATACTGTTACTCCAAGACGGTAAATATATACAAAATAGATGGTAATTGGTAATCGATTTCGATTAGACACTCCAATAATCATCAGACCCAATAGGCGAATTCTGTGATGTAGTTCCAGTTAGTTGAATGTTCCATTGAGCAATTTCAAGTGGAAAGTTAGATAAGAACTATCAGGAATGCTATCTTTAGCTACAGTGTCATGCTTTGCTTTCCAACTTTTGCCTGGATATTTGTTTAATGGGATCAATTGTTTTATTTATTGTAGTAAAAAATAATTGATTGTGGGATGCTTTTTTTGCAGTTAGTTCCATTTTATCATTTATAACACTTTATTGACCGACATTAATTATTTGGTTTTTAGTGGTGGTCAAATCAAGGCATTTTTAGTTTGAAATCTAAGTATCAAACCGATGATAGATACCGTTGATTTGACCTTCAATTGCAAAAAAAAATTACGTGAATCAAGTTTTATAAAATTTGAGTCACAAATCTAATTTTTAACAATAGAACTTTCCGTGAAAGAGGTTGTTTACTTTATTTTTAACCAATTCCAAAACTGCTTTATTTTCACAACCTGTTAACGCCAGAATGGCTAAGATGTCCTTTGAATAATTTTTTTTCAAACAAAGATCAAATAAAAATATAAAATCAATTTTAATCAAATAAAGTCTCTGTATTGTCTTTTAACATCAATATCAGATTCTAGTCCCATATCTAAAATTAATATACTCTTAAAATTCATCATACTATTGAACTCCAAACATCTGAATCAATTGGTACAGTACCGTAACTTGGATACTTGGATACTTGGAGAATTCCCACTGGTATCGCATCAGCGACGTGGTCGTCAGGTTTTTATACATTTCTTCATATTTATTTATATAGATGGATTCATTTCCTCTTCAAGATTGTACATGGCCTAGACATATATCTCATCAACACTGTAGTAGGCCACTTGACTTAAGAATGTTTTTAGCAGGTTCTTGAATTTGCTGACAGAGGGCTCTTGTGTGATGTACTGAGGCAATTTATTGTAAATTTTTATACTACTGAAGTAAGGGCTCTTGCTTGCAAGGGTGGAATTTACTTGAGGTACATGTGGATTTGTTGCTCTTCTTGTATTGTAATTGTGGACCATGCTGTTTGTTACAAAAATATTGGGGTTCTTCTTAACAAGCAATGCGGATTCCAATATAAAGAGGGACGGAAGTGTGAGGATGTTCAGTTCTTGGAACAAAGGTTTACAGTGTGTCCGTCTATGGACTCCACATATTCTTCTAATTGCACGCTTTTGAAGGATGAAGATGCGTTTTGCCTCACTACAACCACCCCAAAATACCAAACCATATGAGATTATGCTATGAAAACAGCCATAATAAACCTTAAGGAGAATCTCGATGTCAACCAGCTTTTGAAGTCTAAACAGCAGGTAGGTGACAGATGACAGTCTGGGCGCTATTGCATCGACATGTGTTCCCCAATTAAGGTTCTCCGTAATGTGTAGGCCCAAGTATTTGGTTTCACTACAGGTTTCAAGTAGCACCCCGTCCAAGGTCAATATCGGAGGTGGTTCAGGCTTCTTCCTGTTATAAAATTCCATTAATTTAGTTTTACTAGAATTAAGGACCAGATGATTTTCGCTACACCAAGTTGACATTTCAAGCAAGCCAGTTTGGGCGTTTTCAATCGTGATGTTCCGATTTGGGCTTGGGACTAGGTGACAGGCGTCATCGGCAAAAAGCCATAAATTTCCAGATGATATGGAGCCAGGCAAGTCATTCACGTATAACAGGAATAGGATGGGCCCAAGGTTTGATCCCTGGGGGACACCGATGTTCAGAGCTGGTGATGGAGACGATTTATATGTCCGAAGGATGTTGTCAGGGCCTCTGTGCTTCAAGGATACAATCATGTGCCGATCTTTAAGATACGATGAAATCCATCGCAGTGGGTTTCCAGAAATGCCAAGCATTCGCAGCTTATCCAGAAGGATCCTGTGGTCAAGAAGATCAAAAGCCTTTGTCATGTCGTAAAAGAGACATAGTAAGCTGTCAGATATGTCAAGGTGGTTATATACTTCCTTTAAAAGGGCAAAAATGGCATCACAGGTAGACATGTTTTTTCTGAACCCAAATTGGTTATTTGAGAAGATGTTATTTGTTTCAATAAAACTTAGCAATCTTTTAAGAAAAATAATCTCAAAGATTTTACCAAAACAAGGCTGGACAGAAATAGGCCGGTAGTTACTTGCGTTAAGAGGATCATTTTTCTTAAATACAGGGACAACCTTTGAAGTTTTCAACGAATCAGGAAAGCAACCAGTTTCAAACGACTTGTTAATAGCGCAGGCCAATGCTTCAAAGATGTTTTCATTGCAAAGTTTGAGAAGGCTGCATGGGACTTCATCAATGCCAGAACTTTTTTTTGATCCTATTAGTAAGACGACTTCACGAACCTCAGACGCAGAAGTAGGAGACAGTACAAAGCGACTCGCTTCGAGATCAGTGGGCAACACAGGGGCTACATTATCTTTAGCCAACGTACATATTTCCTGGTGAAAAGATTTACAGAAATAGTCTACTATTGTCTGAGGATTTTTGACTTCCACGTCATCGATCATAAGAATCAGGTTTGATTGGGTCTGATATTTTTCATCGCACAGTGTACGGACCACTGCCCAAGATTCCTTGCTTGTGTTTTTGGAATTTAATATTTTGTTACCAAAAAGGCCTTTTTTGTTTTGTTAACAAGTGCAGAGTGGTGACGTTTAGCTGCGCGATAAGCATTTTTTCCATCGACAGAACAGTGAGGCGACCTAGTATTCCAGTACAGGTCCAAGAGTGCTTCATGCGACTGCGATACCTCATGACTGACCCAAGAAGGGCTATGTTCATTCTTTGTATTTGAAGTAGACACAGGGAAACTTACATTAAAAACATACATGAACGAATCGTAGAAATGGTCAAATAAATCATTAGAGGTAATATTTCTTAAATTAGGTTCTGGCATCCAAGCTTCATTGCTAGATAAAATTTTGAAGGCTTCAAAAGTCGAGGCTGTAAATTTCCTCTTCACTGTCTTATTTACATTTCCCTCTCCAAAACGTTCACACAACAAGTGTACTGATAACAAATGGTGGTCAGAAAAAAAAACAGGTTTGGCACTGGGGGCACGAAACATATGTGCAACACACGAGTCAACAATAAAATAGTCAAGCTGAGTTATACAATCAGGTGTTACTCTCGTTGGACCTTTAAATATAATGTTCATGTTATTACATTCTAACAAATCCTGAAGCAGCTGACTTTCCCAGGATCTCTCAAGATTGTTTATATTTAAGTCAGCGCAAATAAGAAGCGGGATATTAAACTTATCTCTGAGGGTAGAAATCAACAAGTCAAAACGATCAATAAAATCAATCACATCAGCGCTGTTGGCAGTCCCAGGCCGATACAATACCACAACAATAATTTGGAACTTGTCTAGCTGCATTAGTCCCAAACAGAACTCAAATACACCTTCAGAACAAATGTCTTCGTCAATAGATAATGTCATCGGCTTAAATTTAAGCCTAGAGTCGGTTTTAAGCAACAGAGCAACTCCACCCCCTACTCGGTTAGGTCTAGAATATTCAGAAATGGTTTTGTATCCATTTACTTTAAAACAATTCAGCTTAGATTCATTAAGCCACGTTTCGGCAACACACAATACTTCAGGGTTCTCATTATGTAACAAAACTTCAAGGTCTTCTATCTTGTTAAAAATAGACCTAATATTTAAGAAATCAAACCTAAAACTAATATCACAGTTTTTTTCCGCCCCAAGACAATGTGGGTTGGGGCTTACGTCCCGTTTTTTGGACCATCAGAAGTCTTAGAAGTAGGCCTAGGCCTATCATGCTGTTCAAGGTTAGGCCTAGTACTGGTCCTGTGACTATTAGTTCTAGGAGTCAAAAATTTACATATAAGTATTCCCTCAGGCCAGAGATTGCTATCCAACAGCTTGTCAATAGAGTCAGAAGGTACACCTACCTTAAAAGATGAGTAACCCTGGTACTTAGTGGGAAGTTGTTCACACTGGATTTGAGAGTGTTCAATAGGACACAAGTTCCTTATATACTCAACTAGGCTTTCAGGTTTCACACATGGGTCAAATCTTGATAAAAACACCCAGGATTTCCTCTGTGCCACAACAAGAGGTCCAGTTTGTTTGGCTTTGCCAATTATAGCTCGGTTTCGTTGCACTTTAGATTGAGGACGAACTGGATTTGACTTCTCTCTATCACCACGACTATTTACATTAATCCTTTTCTTCCTAGTCACTTGATTCCAATTGCCATCAGCACCAGGAGACATGCATAACTGAGGCGATACAACAACACTGGTAGTGATATTGGAAGTGTTTTTACCACGTTTCAGTACCTCACTATAACATTCACTTCTAGAGGGGTTAGCAAAATTACTAATAACGTCAGCGTCATCGCCACGGCCATCTTGATGAGGCGTGACGTCATCGTCAGTGCTGCCAGTCTTACAGCAATTATTAAAACTAAGTTCATCATCTCCATGCAGTGGAGAGTACGTCACAGAATTATTTCCATTACTTCCAACTACTTGAGTCAAAGTAGAGTCAGAATCAGCAATATGTACTTCGTCATTGATTTGAACTTCCGGTGGGCTCACATTGCCTTTTAACCTACAAACGTCACTGGAAATATTATCTAGCTTTGCTTTAATCAAACAATTGTCAGTTACTATATCATTCACTAATTTAAATAGCTTTCCAACATTCTGGAGTAGGTTACAGTTGTCATCAAAGCTCAGAGCATAATCCTTAAGCCTAGCTAACCTGACTTCGCAGCCTGCACAAAACCATTTGACTGAATCTCCCAACTCTTTTATAGATTGGTATTTATCACTTTCAAATGACACACAATCGGTATGGAACGATTTACAACAAAATCCGTCACATGTAACTCCAGGATTTCCTTTATTCACGGTTTTTTCACAGACGCCACAGGGATAACGAACTGTACGACCCGACATCTTGGCCGGAAACTCACTAACTATCGTAACAAGTTCAGATAGGCCTAACACTTGGATAGTTAGATTTTTACCATTAATTCAAAGTATTATAGAAAACAGGCCGATTCAAGACAAGCTCTTACTGTCCCGATCTCTGAATGTGTCTGTAAATATTTCAGGATCGAAACATTCACATATTTGCCACAATCGCTATGATTTTCCATTTCCGTGAGGGACATTACATCTACAATATTGCAGAAGATGTGCAAGATTTTACTGTGCTTGCAGAAAACGATAACGATGTTTTCAAGAACTCAGAAAACGATGATATCTACACGACCGCAGTAGATAAACATTTTTGCCGTTATCACGCAAGATGATTACTTTCCGTTATAACAGGAGACGATGACAACGTCTACATGCCCACAGGAGATATTCAGGATTTTGCAGCGATCACGGCTTCTGCATTCTTTAACTACAACAGGGCTGTGCGAATAGTTCGAAAAACGAATCGAATCCGAATCTTTTTAGAGATTCGATTCGGATTCGAGAACGAATCTACTGTTTCTAACTGGATTCGGATTCGGAATCGATATTCAAATTTAATGGTAAGAGATCCGGGTTCGGATTCGATATTCAAATTTCTTGGAAATAGATCCGAGTTGGGATTCGATATTCAAATTTACTAGATTCTGATTGAACTGGAAATCACAAGTTGTTAATTTGATTAAACGATTAAACCGCTGTATTTTCTCTCTTCGTGCAATCAGACAAGCTGTTGACTTGAAGACTCAGCTTATAGTTTATCATGCTTATTTTTCTTCAATAATGACATATGGTATTCTGGTTTGGGGAAACTCATGCCACTCCAACAAAATATTCAAACTTCAACAAAAAGCAATTAGAATTATTGGGCGAGTTCCTCGTAGAACTCCTTGTAAAAGTCTTTTTCAAACATTTTCGGTTTTAACATTTTATGATCACTATATTTTAGAAATTTCAAATTGGGTTAAAGACAATCTGTCCTCATTCATGAACCAACCCATTCATTCCCACCACACTAGATTTAAGAGTTATATTAAGCCTGAAACCCATAGATTAGAGAAATTTCATTTATCTCCCCAATATATAGGCCCACAAGTTTACAATAAGTTACCACTCCGCATAAAAAATATTGATAGTAAAACACAGTTCAGATCCACCCTGAAGACCTGGTTAAAAACAAAAAATTTTTTTTCTATAGAATGTTATTTAAATAGGGACGTTAAGTTAGATTAATAATTTAGTAAGACATTTTTGTTATTTCTTAGTTTTAGTATATCCTGTATATGACTTTATGTCCTGTCAAAAAATGATGTAATGACATGTATTAAATAAATAAAAAAATAAATAAATAAATAAATAAAAAAATATAATTTTTCAATATAATTTTTTAGACACTAAAAAACTACTTGTGCACTCCGATTTGCTGTTGACTGGTTCATGTTAGGAACCTGACCAACTTGGTGTTAGGCTTTAGGCACATTAGTGTAGGTCGCATTTGAACCCTATCTTGGCTATCAGTAAACTTAACCTCACAGTGTTAGTTCTTACTTGTAATAGTAATGCAGACATAGGCTTGTGTGGAGGATTAACACCGAGGTGTATAATAGGCTGGGCCTATGTTTTAGACTACACAAATTGGTAGTCCATCACTTTTAGCGAGTAACTTAGGCCTAGGTGGTATGCCTAACTTATGCCCAATTTTTTAGTTTCAAAACTTCAAATAGTCAGGCCTAAATTTTATAACTTTTTTATTTGGCCCATTTCAAGAATTTTTTTAAGCAATTCCCTAAGTCATTTCAGCCCCAGAAAATGTGTTCTAAAAATGTGAAAATTGGTACTGCTGACTTTCCTCGGATTTGGATTCGACTCTGAACACGTTTAAATATTCGGATTCGATAACAGCTTTAAATTTCAGATTCGGATTCGATCCAGGTTCGATAATGGCTGTAAATTTGAGATTCGGATTCGACCCAGATTCGACTCGGGATTAATTAAAATATTCGGATTCGATCCGGATTCGATAAAATCTGTACAGCTAAGATTCGGATTCGGATTCGAACCAAAATTTCTGGATTCGCACAGCCCTGAACTACAATAATTCTTAGTTATTAATGTTGTTTATAGTTTTTTTTATTCTTTCTGTGTGGTGATTGGGATAGGTGGAGTTATGATAATTGGAGTCCTACTGTATAACAGATTCGGTAATTCTGAGCAAAGTATGGGTCAACTTCAATTTTTCTCACATTACCGTTGATTATTCTGTCAGTTAGTAGTAACAGGAAAATGCAAGAAGTTTTTTAATTTTGCACAGAAAATGTTATATCTTCCATCATTTCAAAAATATGTCCTTATTGCTTGTTATTGTTGTATTGCTTGTATATCTGGTTGTTTGTGGCAGTTGAGAGCGTACCTGAACGGTGTTGGTCAGTGGGAAGGGAGACACATGATTGTGTCACTACACGTCCTATCATCCCAATGGGACAACAGACTCGCCTGGCCTTGCAGAATGAAGGTGATACTCTGTCTACGGGACCAGGAGCAAATAAACAGGAAGGTGAGTCGAGTTACAGAGAAAGGAGAACACTTGGAGTTATAGGGTGTAAAGTAAAATTAGTGACAAGAGGTGTGGACTCTCCTTCAATAAGGGAGAAAGAGTTTGCAATAGGGGTGGAGGTGATCAAGGGAGGGTCCAGAGAAAATATTTGTGGGAAAAACACGGGGGCAGTTTATCCAAATTCAATTTGTATGTCTATAGAAAAGGTTTTTTTAACATCAGACTAATAAATCAAAAAGGCATTGAATTTATATTAAAATTTATTGGGGTGGATTTCAGTAGGGGGACTTCCTTCATTCCCCTTCCACCCACCTTGAACCAGCCACTGGTCCCTCGTAAAGTAGTAAGGATCTTGATAAACTTGAATTTAGACACTTAATTAATTATAGTATTGATAAGACACCCATCTCACACACCCATGACATCTCAGTCACCCATGATGTCAAGACACTAGTGATGGGCCGATTCCGATTCTCGATTCCAAAATACTCTCGATTCCGCCGGAATCGAATCGAGCATTCGATTCGAATCTCCGTGGGTTTGGGATCGATTCCAACTGTCTTCGATTCTTTCATAAAATTGGTTAAAATCAGCCACAAACGTCATATAAAGCAACAAAGAAACAAAATAAATTCAGATTGCTAATGATTTGCTTGCAACTCTGAGCAAACAACAAGTTCTGGTCGTATCGTCACTAAGTCAGCGAGACTAGAGCGAGCGTATTGCAAATGAAATAATAGATGCGAACTCAATACAGAGGCTTAGTACAATGAGAAACAGTTAACCGATGGGAATTGGAGATTCGGGCAAACTGGACTGGAGCGAGTAAGCATTGCGTCACAGCTCACAAGACATACAAGGAAAGGATGAGCATCGATTTAGATCAACCAGCGGCACCAAGGCTACTAACCACGAATACTAGAAAAGTAGAAAAATACTGGTATGGATCATAATCATAAACATAAACAAATGACATTTTTGGCCCGAAAATAAACATTATTTCACATTGCTTAAATGGAACTGCCAAACCCAAAACATATGTTCAATGCTATTCGTATAGGATTCGGGCCAACGACGTCATTTGTTTATGTTCATGATCCATACCGGTATTTTTCTAGTATTCGTGCTACTAACTGAAGCATTGCATCGGTACAACGATGTTATCAGTAACCGATAACATCGTTGTGAAAAAAATCGATGTTTTTGGCCTTTGGGACTAAGACATAGATTTTTTTCTTCAATTTTTCGTCTGGTCTCTGTACTCTCCAGTAACGGAAAGCATCGATATCTCAATATACTTGGTCAAAAACATCGATGTGAAAAACAACGAAAATCGATAGAAAAAATCGGTGATGCGAAAACATCGACTATCGATGCTCATCCCTAAACAGAGCCGACTGCTGAGCTACCATTCATTACCAAAGTCTAACAAAACACTTCTATTCGTATTCGTCGGTCCGTCGCCCGTCGGTCCCGAAACGTCACTACTGAACGAGACTAGAGCGATCGTCCTTTTTATTTAGCCTAAAAGCGACTTGGGAATATAATTTTGTACAGTGAATTGGAAGGTTTTAACAACCTATAAATGTTCAAGTGCGTGAAATTGTAAATAAACTTGTTTAGTGTTGCAATCAACGGGTAAATCTTCGAACACTGGGTATTTTAATGGCCGATAGGCAGAGTCGTCAATTTTTAAGATTAAATTAAACCCCAAAAGTAATACGTATTTGTGTTTGGGTTTTAATAATTAATTTCTAAAAACCTTTAAAATTATTTTTTAAATCAGTTTTGTTCACGTTGAGTGGTAATTGTAAACTTGTAGGCCTATAAGCTCTAGGCCTATATTTAAAAGTAAAAGTCATTGTTAAAAATGTTTGAAAAAATGTGCTGTAGGTTTAATTTTACGGTTTACGTTCATTCATTTTCTTTCACTGTTATTGTATTATTATTATTATTATTGTGTTTATCCTCATTAAAATTGTGTGTTTCGTTCTAATAATGTTTGGGTTTTATTTAATAATTAATTTCTAAAAACCTTTTTGTCATCCTGAACCATGGTATTCGGAATCGAACCCGAAATGGAGAATCGAATCCCAAATATCAGAATCGGAATCGGAATCGGAATCGAATAATTTTGGAATCGACCCATCACTACAAGACACCCATATTTTCCTTGGCGTATTAAATTATCACAGTCAACCATGATCGGATGACCTTCTGAGCCAAATTGTTGCATGGATTGATTTAAACATTGTGATTAGCCATTCGTTCATAATACATAACTAACGACATATTTATACATTCTACCATACCTTTTACAATTAATATGTTCATCACCTGGACTTATTTAGGAACTACTAATCTGTAAACTGATCAGATAAATCTGGAATTTTGAAATGTGAATTTAACTATAATAAGCTTATGTCAAGTATTATTCCCCAATAGCCCCCCCCCCCCTTAGTTAAATAATGGCTTGCTTCATACAAGGAGTACTGCCCGCAGTAATTTACACACCCACGGTGTTGAGTATGTTACTTATCCATACTGTTAACTTGTTGTCTAAGCCAATGGCATGTTCAACGTTTTGAAAGGGAACGGTCCAAACCCTGGTCTTGTTACTATCTACGACCTTTTTGTTAGATACATCATCATTAATTCATAGCCCAATGACATATGCTATCTGGGTCTGGAAACAATCATGCATGGAATCAAATCAGCAACCTTCAGATTTGAAGACGAGCACTATAACTACTTCGTTAAACGGACAATTGATTGTTACAACAGCATAAACACATACTTTACAGATAAAATGTCCTTTACACTTTAAAATGCTTCAACTTCTCACTTTTTTCTGTTCACTAAGTAAAATATATTACAATGAAAACTATTGTATAGTTGTCAAACAAAGAATAAAGAATCTATAATCTGTTGTCCCACCCTTAAGGCCTACTTGTATAAAAAAGTAATTGAAAGCTGAAAATGTTATTAGTGTAGCAGTGATGTTCACTTCTGTCAAAATTAAAATCTAATCAACGGATTTCCTCAGGCTAAGGACATAATGAAGAGTTTTACGAGCAGTCCAGCGCAGAAAGGTTTTGAGAACCCTTGCCTGCAGATGTTCATCCCCCATAGAACTCTCTATACCCGGAGCTACCTCAAGAATGACGTTGTCATCATAGATGTCAAGGCATTACCTATCTAGTCCCAACTGTTGATTTAATAAAAGTTTTATACTGTTTTTACATACAATGTATTTATTTACCTGTCTATTTAGGGTTAATTTTGAACATTTAACAGTTACAATTGACAATTACAGTAGATTGTAAAAAATCTGAACCAATTGGGACTGTATGTAGTTGAAAATACCGATTTGTTCAGATTCTCAAACATATCCTTGAAATGCCTAATAGACACATAATTAGGCATACAGTATTAAAAATGAGTTCTATGATACAGTAAATAAAATAAAAACAATGGTTTTTTTTACTTATAGGTATTTATTTTCGGTACATTACTGTAGTTCGTTTATTGAAAAAATATGTAGTGTTTATACATTGGAAACGAACAAAACACAGACTGGCTTGGCGCATTCACTCATTTCCTCGCCGGTCGCCGACTGTTGGGCCTGCGAAATTGTAAAACATCTGTTGTCTCTGTGCTAATTCAATATTTTAAAACCCTCAGGAGCGGTTTGGATTTTTGACATTCGGATTTTCGACACTCTACTGTATGTCAACATTGACTTCAGGTTATAGTAGGCTATAATTTGAGGTTAGAAAAAATAGCGTCCAAAGTAGTGGTATTTTGGAGGTAAACTCCAGTCTACTATAAAATAGCCGACAATCTGAAACAGAATTTCTTACGATACAATAATACATATCCTAAACGTTTCCTTAATACATCTTAATAATAGTTGTACATTGGATTATTCCCCAACAAAGAGAATGCTCTGTAATTAAAAATAGTATATTACGTTACTAGTCCTGAAAATAAGTGTTTACCGGACGAGTGTGGTCGTTCCCGTGCGAGACGAAGTCGAGTACGGGATTACCATCGAGTCCGGTACACACATTTTGGACGAGTTACGTACGATAGTTTACGCCATACTACTAAATCCGTACAAATCCTTATATATTTTCACCAACTAAAGGAATAAAAATCACTAGTCATTTATAACCACTCACTGCCACCTAAATACAGTATAATCAGCTGATTGGTGTCCGGCAAAACTCATTGCAGCACAGTAGTACGCAATGAAACCCCATTTGAATAAGCTGGCGGCAAACAGCTGTTTTCTGGACTAAATCCTTGCGTGGGAAGTTCGTCAAAATAATGTATTGTGGCGTAAAAAAGATTTTCGTACTTAGTATAGTTAACTATGTTAATTCTCAAGACCTATGTAGAGGAATTTGTGTTTGAAAGATTTGATTTAACAATCTCAACATTTTTAGAACATAAACTTTTGTAATTTTTCAACACAGTTTTATGTGTCGTCATTGATTCTCAAATTTATAAAATAAAATTATGTAGAAAATAAAATACTTCATCAAAGTACATGTAATGAAAAGTGGCTATTGAATTTCATAAAATTCCATTTTAAACAAAACTGTAATGCCAACATTTATGGTAAAATTTATTCTATACACATTTTTATCCTATGAAAATCAATCACACAAATTAAACCTTCCACTTCATCAGTATAATCCATGTTAACAATGAAACCAAGGAAACTCCAAGGGGTTATTTCTAGGAACTAGGAACATGACAACCAGTCCCAAAATGGAACTGGTTTGTCACTCAGGAAGTGATAAACCAGGATTCCCTGTCCAACTGGTAGAAAGGAACAGTGGACTGGGACTGATGACACTGATAGAAACAGAAAAGAACCAGTTTGTTGCAGAATCTTCAATGAACTGTTCTGATGAGTCCTATGCGTCCTTGACATTGTTTTGCTCTCATTTTAATTGCTTTGATCATCTTGTTAGTGTAAGTATTTGACTTTTATTTAGTCTTGCCTATTTTTTCAATATTGTAGGATGAAGAGTAACCGACCCAATATTATATAACATACAAAGCTGTTACTTGCTTTTAGAAATTGAAATAGTCACGAAAAATCGTCAAATTAAGAACTTCAATGACTGAAAGCTATGTGATTTTGATGGATTATTTTTTTATCGATAGTGGTTAGTTTTAAAAGTAGTTTGTGGAGAAGTCAAGAAGTTTACTGAAGTTTAATGATTTTTTACAGTACATAAATCATTATTTTACTTTATAACTTAATTTTACGGAGTCAACAGTGTTGATAGTTACTTAAGATTGAAATGAATACAGTATTACTATTGCATAAAAGTGTAACTATCTAACTATCTGCAAGTAAGTAAGTCTTGAATCATAGACTTACTTATACATAGATGTACTTACTTACTTACTTATACATAGATATACTTACACATAGATGCATAAGTATTTCCACAATTGAAAACCAAAAACTTATTTTCCAAAACTACAACCTAGTAATATTCTCACTTCAAATAATGCTTTAATTGCATCTAAATACTTTAAAAATTTAAATTCAATGAATTAGGCTGTTCTGAAAGTATAACTCAAAACTATTTTTATCGAGTTACATGATTTTCTGTCTTTTAATTGCAAAAAATTTAACAAAAATAAACTTTTCAGCTATAAATTAAAAGCATGTGGCTAAGTTTTGTCTTTCCAGATTTTTTAATGAAGTTTAATTTACATCTTTTAGTAACCTCTATGTAAAGCATGAGTTTGATTTTTAGGTCAATTCTGTCAGGAATTACCGAGTTTATCAAATCATCATTGTTAATCCCCCAACTTAATGTTGGCTACATAAGATATTGATTATATTCTTAAAATATTACATAACAATAGCTTAGTAAATATTCTTTTTTTATTTTTATATGGTAACAATTTTTAAACATTTTATACTGCAAACACCTCGCAAGCCATTTTAGGGAATTTTATTGACTGTTAAAAAAATTGATTTATTAATGGATACAAGTTTTAACTCAAATCCACTATGACTGCCCTATAAATTAAAAAAATAGATGCATGAATGCTGCTGATTTGAGATTAGTGCATAAGTTTGTGAAACTTTAAAAAACTAAACTTATTAGATACGGTAAAATAGATTGTGTGCAAGATTCCTGATATATTATCACATTTCCCACTAATTAAATTGTAAAACCTGAACAAACTTTGTTCTACAACGCACTGAGTAGATTTAAAATATAACCTCATTTGCAATACTGTTAAAAGTTCTATGAACATTATTGTGTCTTCACAGATGACGAACAAAAAGCTCTAACTAAGCAAACAAACGCAGAGAGATGTTAATAAGCTTAGCTGTCGGAAGATAAATGCTTGAGTCACATTCAGAGAGAATGTTTAAGATATTCTTGTTCTCTATCTAGTTTTAGACGCTAAGATATGAAATGTGAGTGTTTTGAGGGAATTACAGTATTTCATGTGATTTTTTTATGTTTCTGTTATGATAATTATTTTATGGTTCTTTATCACACAAATTAACGTTGAATAGCTGTATCATCCTAAAGGACCCACTCAAGAATCTTTTAAGGTATGTTTCTGGCCACAGTGTGTTTAGAAGATGACTATTTATGTTTTGTTTTAACAACTTAAGATTATAACATTTAACACACACGTAGAATTTTCCTTTAAGAAAAGAGAGGAATATTTAGTCAATATCAGAAAACGTTCTTCTGATTTTGAAATAGGATATGTGTTCTATTTAATGTATCCAAAGCAAAATTAACTGTACTGTATGGTTTGAATATGCAGCTGTAATATTTTGTTTTAATGTCAATTACACAGGTCAATTTCACTTTGTTTGCTACAGTATATACATTTGCAATGAATCTATATGGAAAAGTAATATAATGAAGTTAACATTTTTATCATAAAATTTACAATTTTAATGCACTAAGATTAAAATAAAACTTTGTGAAAATGGCCATATTTTAACATATATTTTTGAAATTCATAGTACATTTTTAATGTTGAAAATAACAGGTTACATAAAAACTTTATGTTTTAACGCTTTACTTTTTTGTGTGTGTTGCAATGCAACAGCATTTTATATATTTAAATGGTCTTTTTAACTCTGATATTGATACTAACTCGACCTTTCAAAATTATGTGCACCTTGGGAGATAAATTTAGAATAAATACACAATCTAAATCACTTTCTTTCAAATCAATTAAATATTACTAACTTTAATTACTTAGAGCTCCAGTTACATTCCACAAATACTAATGTTTTTACCACGCTTAGAAAATGAAATATATAACACAATATTCTCAGAGCCTTCACTACTGGGAACTCGACAGCCATAAACATTTTACCGTAATCTTGTTAGCGTTTATTACTTGATTCAAACTTGACTATCTAATTGCCTCGGTGCAGTACTTGTTTGTGATGTTATGCCATTCTTACACAGCTGTTAGTAAATTACTGTTACAGCTGATCTAACATAGGTGGAGTTCAGAGTCTTTTGTGTGATCTGCTTTTGTACACCACTGTGTGATTCCCGTTTGGTGGTTGTGTGTCTATTGAGTTTGTTGTGTATAGTAAAAAGTATGAGTATTTAGAATAGTTAAATTTTGATGGTACGTCTTTAGTTTGACTGAAGTAACAGCTCCTACAATATTTTTTTTAAATTTATTTGTTTTGTGAGTCTTGTTTACTTAAACGGAACGTTTCAAACGCCAGCTTCTTAGTCTGTTGTCCTAAATTTAGTTTAATGTTTAGAAGAGGAGAGGGTTTGATCAAAGATAAAATTTGATTGGTTGATTTGTAACAAATTTGACATTTTTCAGCATATCAGTTAAAATAAATCTAAAAAATAAATGGTGTAGCCAAACTGACACATATACTTTCTACCATTAGCCTGATACTGTATTAAAATTTAACATCCTACTAATTATATAAGGAGAAAGATTATAATGGGTAAGCATTATATAATTTTATAAGGGAAAATCACAAAATTTGCAATACCGTTTGAACTGTAAAATTTACAGCATTGGGGGATGTACCATTTTATCCAGGGGTTAAAGGACAAAAAACATATTTACTACATTTAAACCAAAATCTTTAGGGCTGTTTTTTTGTGGAAATCAGATTTTTCCGTTATTTTATAGGTTTTCATAGGAAAATCTTAATTACAAATCAAAATTTTGAAATTCAAAAAACTCTTGGATGTACTGTGAGTTACTACCCACATACCAAATTTCATCAAAACGGAACCACAGGTGAATTCTGTAGCTCTGACCACACCCATACACTCACACACATTTAAAGTAATAAATGTAACAAACATTTGATAGTTTAAAAATAACAAAAAAAATCTATTCCAAAAATTACACCATATTACATTTACGTTACACCAAAAAAACTTAAAAAAGTGTTCCAAAAGTTTGAGATTTTTATTAAATTGTGCAAAAGTCTAGATCTAAATTCAAAAAGAACCAAATTAATTTTTTTTAAGTAGTCAGGAACATGTTCTACAAATTATTACCTCTTTGAATCTATACATGGATATAGTTCTACAAACATTTGATTGTTTCTGCTGGCCCTGAGAGGTTTAGAAAAACAAATTTTACATAATTGGCCAGCTTTCAACAATCAGGTTAGTTTTTATGGTTGAATAACGACTGTTGAAAGCCTTCCAATCACTGCAAGACGCAAGACTGTAGGTTTAATTTACTGCGGGTCTTTAGTTTAACTCAGAAGGTTGTGCACTTCTATATTGCACAATCAATGACTAAGCTTATGCCTTCTGCAACAGGTACTGAGCTTTAATTTTCTATCTTTTCTTAATTGAAACTTTAGAAACTTAAAAAACAAATAAGGTTTGGCCTTTATATTTTTTACAGTTACAAGAGTTTCCATTTTTATTTTGTGGTAAATATATTTTTACCTTGAATTAAAAGTGTGTTTTGAGGTATTTATTTTTAAATACATTTTGTTGTTTTGATCGACTAGGAAAGTAAAAATTTTCAATTCTGATTCAAAAGTTGTAGTTAGTGGATCTTAAATCAACAAATTGATTGTAAATTTATCATTTTATTAATATAATAAGCATCTTAAACAAACGTAATCTTTAAATACTTAAAGGGCATTGCACAATTTGTTTTGCCTTGGAAACAAATTTTGAACCTTATTTAAAATGCGCATTTGGCACATATGTCCCCTCGTTTTCACTATATTTTACCACTGATTGACCTAAACTGAACAAAATATGCAGTGCAGGAACTGAGTGTGTGAGGGAGGGATTTGTCCCTGTGTGTCCGGTGCCCTAAGATAACATTGGGGGTCTATTTGTCACCATAGCTTTCATGTATTTGCTTGCTGATCCCCTAATGTCTCAATTAATTTATAAAGTAAAAACACAATTTTTCCAGCCACAATGTTAATCCTTCTCGGACTGTCACTATGGGTGACGAGTGTGGTGGCTCCTATACCCAACTGGAGCCCCACCTGCCTCCAACATTCCATCGTCCCCAACGCTTGCGTCTACGGTAACCTCACTCTGAATCTGGCCAAGCAGATTCTGACTCCCCGAGAGTGCAACAGTCGCGTGAGCATCACAGAGTTCTTACACACTCCCGTGGTACAGATCGACACCAATAACAAGGTTAGTCCAAAAAATGGTTTTTAATAGTTTTAATTTGATCGTGATCAAGTTTAGGCGTGATTTTGATTATTTTGTTAATGCGTGTATGGTGGAAAGCCTCCCAACAAGACTTAAGAATCACACTTAACACTAGAGGTATTAAATTAACCTATTGGACATTAATTGTTGGCTGTGTACAAAATGAGAAAAGCGTCGGTGGTGGGGAAGAGTTATTGGTGCATGCCCATCCCGATATTAATTGGCATGTACTTATCAGTTTGTCTTTGAAAACACAAGCATTTTAGTGCTTAAGATACCAGTCTTTTTAGCAAAATTCCCTATAGGGAAGAAGCTATTACTGTAGGTGACAAATGCGAACATGTTTACTTTTTCATTTTGACATCCCCAGAGGTAAAAAGCGATATTCGTTCAAATTTATATATTAATGGTTACGGAGAAAATTCTGTACATTTATAGATATCTAATTTTATTTTTGAATAAGGTATAAAGTGTATTCTTCCTTGTTCCAATACATGATCAAATAAATCACTGCTTAACATGTTCGCTGCGAGAACCCCTTTGGCAGTACGGTCGGAAAGCGACTCAGCCTTGGCGCGCCAGTGAATCAGCGAACACAATAGCATTAAAATATTTCAGTCTTGACAGCGGTGGTGAAGGTGCTGTGTTATCCTCATATTGGACTTAGTTCACTGAAAAACTCACAGATAACAGCACTGCCTGGATCCGTAGCCAGTCTTTGTAATGTGGCTCAAAGAGAGAAAATCCCTGAAAACGGGCGTTGCCAGACGGGATTTTATGGAAAATTTTACTACCAACCTATACCAAATTGAAGTATAGGACCAGCACAACATGCTGACATACTTTAATAATACTTTACAATGAAATGGCGACCATACAAAGTAGGTATTTTAAGCCAAGTATGAATGGAGATGAGTCTAGGATGAGTGGCGCGATCTTGTAGTCTTGTTAGTGACTAAGGCCGACTTATTCCTTAGACACAGCTGTTAATAAAAAAGCTCATACAGCTAATGGTAACTAAGGGACTTGCAGTTTAAAGTGGAATCCGAACCACATTTTTGCCTTGGTATATACAAATTGGTCTAATTTTCAGGATAACACTGCGGACAGTCGTAGTACTCACGTTTAGTTGATCCCCAATAAATGCGGAGGTCACAATAGACCAACTTGTACAGTATAACACTGCACCGTTACTCCGACCGGAGTCGTACGCACGCTGTGCCAGTACGGGGCATGACTCCGATCGGAGTTGTCAGCAGCGAATGTGTTAAACCAAAGAATTTGTAAAGCCAACTCGTTCACTCATCACTACATCATTGCTTGAGTTTCAGGTCCACATGAAGTTTGACCTTTCCCCACTTTAGTTGCACTAAATCTATGCAAAACTGGTTTTAAAAGCCCTCTTTATAAGGAAGCTGTATACCACCAACTACTGTTGTTGAATTGATGCTTTTGTTGCAAGATTATAGTATGGGTTTTGCTCATGGACATATACTGTATCCCAAGATGTTGGAAAGGTTGTGTTGGGAGAATCGGCTGGAGAGTTTGTCGGTTTCTGTCAGGTTGGAGGTTTCAGATCTTGATTACGATCATTTTCCTGTGTTCTGTTGGGTATTAAGTATTGGATAATGACTAGAAAATGCCAACTACATGGGTCAGCTGTAGCCTTTGTCTGTTTCAGACTGAAGCGTTCACTGTTGTCATGATAGACCTGGGACCTGAAGGTAGAGGACCTAACTATCTACAGTGGATGGTGACCAATGTAACGGTAAGTGTTATACTCTTTTTTTTCAAACTAAACACGTTAAATTATGACTTAAATATCACATGCTCTTTTGGTAGCTGAATGGTCGGTACTTTCCCAGTAATCACAAAGTTGCGGATTCACTATTCAAAACTGATTACAATTAGTATCATTAGCCGGGGAGAGGGATAATCTAGTGAGTGGTATAGTGGGGACTTCGGTCCCTGAGGCCCTCGGTTCAAATCCCACCAAATCACCAATGAATTTTATCGAAGTGATAATGCCGCAACCCCTAGGTTGTATCTCCTGAAGTAATGTGAAAAACAATTACGGGCTCGTGCCTAGCGTCCTAAGACAAAAAAAGTACCAACCAAAATGGTCCTGACTAAAATTAAATAGCAGATCTTAGAGAAACAAAACTACACTAGCATCTTACCCATCTTCTATAAAAAAACTTTTATTTCAGGAGTCTTCTTTGAGAAACTTTTACAAGATTCCTAAACAAGATGTGATAGAGGGTGAGTTTTTAATATTTTTCATAATTTATCTTTTACATTAATCGGAAAAATGTTTACAGCATCTGTATCAATAAAAAGATAAAGGTTGTTGACAAGCTGGGAGAAAGTATGTGTAAGATTGCTGATACCGTTTATTTATGTTAATATAGTTGATAGTTCACTAGTAATTTTCCTTGCTATACAACCAGAAAAAGTTAAAGTGTTGTGACTTATATGTACACGCCAAACTGTTTCACAACTCCAAACTAAAACAATAGTTATTTGTGCAACTAGTGAGAAAAGTGAGCAATTGACTCACTCGAGAGAAATCCTTACTCACGAGCCTTAGGCGAGTGAGGAATGGTTTCTCGAGTGAGGCAATTGTACTTTGAACTCGAGTTGCACATTATACTTTTCCTACAGTTACCATAAAACAAATAAATTGGTGAAGAAACATAACCTATTTTTACACGGAAGTGAACTTTTAATATAACATTTAATGTGAAGTGACAAATACAACAGTACAACAGCTGACCAGCTGATTTACAGCCAGTGCTGCCAACGTACTTCGCGCGCATAGACGTTGCCTGCATGTTACGCACTCACTATTTCGTGCCTTCACGTTGCAAATCTGGAGTGAGACAAAGTAATTAGAGTGAGACAATGTTAACATTGTCTCACTGATGAGCGAATTGGCCACTTTGCTTCATCAAATCAGTGAGAGAACATGTACATTCTTAGGTAACTGTAGGAAATAGTTATTTGTGCAACTAGTGAGAAAAGTGAGCAATTGACTCACTCGAGAGAAATCCTTACTCACGAGCCGTAGGTGAGTGAGGAATGGTTTCTCGAGTGAGGCAATTGTACTTTGAACTCGAGTTGCACATTATACTTTTCCTACAGTTACCATAAAACAAATAAATTGGTCTTATGTTTCTTCAAACATAACCTATTTTTACACAGAAGTGAACTTTTAATATAACATTTAATGTGAAGTGACAAATACAACAGTACAACAGCTGACCAGCTGATTTACAGCCAGTGCTGCCAACGTACTTCGCACGCATACGACGTTGCCTGCATGTTACGCGCTCACTATTTCGTGCCTTCACGTTGCAAATCTGGAGTGAGACAAAGTAATTAGAGTGAGACAATGTTAACATTGTCTCACTGATGAGCGAATTGGCCACTTTGCTTTCTCAAATCAGTTAGAGAACATGTACATTGTTAGGTAACTGTAGGAAAAATAGTATTAAATGACTTTTTTCTTTTTTGTAAGCCAATAAATTCCTTGACTCATTGTTTTCTATGGAGAGTTAACTAAACTGTTGTCACTCTAAAAACCCCTTAAGAATTGACTTTTCTCGATCAAAGTACAAAGTTAATAATGGAGAAAATCTGGGTGAGATTACATGTTTGCTTGTATTTTTACCTCGCTGCATAATTTTGAAGAATAAATTGGGATTTTTCAGACTACAAGCAACCCCTGCTGATGAAATATGTGAGTCATAAAACGCTGATCCAGATTTTGGTTTTCCGACACCATAACGTACTTCGAATAAACTTTGGCGAGCTTTGGGTCAAACAAGTTCAGAACTTTTCACTCAGGTAATGCATTTTATGTGTCGTTTACCACTTTCTTGATTAAATTGTCTGATAAAATAAAGTGACATAAAATTACAGCAATAAATTTATATTAGAAATTTAGGAAGTTCAAAATTTAAAGATATGCCACATAGGATAGCAACTATTTATTTTGTAGGGTTTTTTATCTCAACTCAATTAATTTAACATTTTTATTAGATACTCATTTTTAAACTAAAATATTGAATAACGTGTTTACGAAAGTTTAAGAAAAACTGTAGGTCAATTAAGTCCAAGATACAAATTATCCTCGTTAAGTTTTCTGTCCAATCAGCAAGATTATTTTGTACACTTACTACACTTTCGCACACTGTGTTACACCTTTAAGGCTTGAAATGAAAATTCTTCTTTATTGAGGCGAGCTTGACCTCATGGTCCTTTCTTGCAGTTAACCTCTAAGGTTTGAGCAATATAATAAAAACACACTTACTCGTGTAATAATTTTTACCGAGTAGCCTACTCGTCAGCTACTGTCAAACCCTAATTCTGGGTTATTAGATAATTATTTTAACCCACTATTATCAAATCTCACGCTTTTGGTTTTAACCTGTTCCAGTACCCTGTTCAGCAACGTGAACCCCAACTTGAGACTGTGTGGGCCCGTAGCAGGCGCCCAGTTTTGGCTGTTTGACTCCACCTATACGCCAAGTGCACCCCCTCTGCCAGGTTAGTAAAGAATTTATTAATTCAAAATGAACCTAAGTCGCTCATTGCATAAAACATGTTAATTTGAAATCATTTTATAAGGTTCAAGATTTTGCAGTACTAGTTGTGGCAATTACAATAAGTCACTAAATAATTCTTAACCATCAAACCTTGAATTCTATTATTACAAAATATTTAGGTACATATATTGAAGCTACTTGCATTTACTTGCATTTCTATTGTATGAGATGGGATAATTCCATCTCTCTGACAGATTGAAAGAAAACTCTATATCAGGATCACATTTGTAGCTGTCAATATTTAAAACTACAAATATTTAAGCTTTTATTTTAATAAGGTAATAGTTTAACCCCAGCCAATTAGACACTCTTCAGTGATTTGAATTGTTCTTCAGATAACCACAAGACTCGGATTATATATTTTACATCATTTGTCATTTTTAATCAGTTTTTGTAAATTTAATATTACAAATAAAAGTTAACTTTAAAACCACTCAGTTCTACTAAAAAGCTTAGAAAAATCCCGAGTCGGTTGGAATCCAATTTGTGTTTTGATTAAGAACGTTACATTTTCCTACAGTTACCTAACAATGTACATGTTCTCTCACTGATTTGAGAAAGCAAAGTGGCCAATTCGCTCATCAGTGAGACAATGTTAACATTGTCTCACTCTAATTACTTTGTCTCACTCCAGATTTTCAACGTGAAGGCACGAAATCGTGAGCGCGTAACATGCAGGCAACGCCGTATGCGCGCGAAATACGTTGGCAGCACTGGCTGTAAATCAGCTGGTCAGCTGTTGTACTGTTGTATTTGTCACTTCACATTAAATGTTATATTAAAAGTTCACTTCTGTGTAAAAATAGGTTATGTTTCTTCACCAATTTATTTGTTTTATGGTAACTGTAGGAAAAGTATAATGTGCAACTCGAGTTCACTTTTCTCACTAGTTGCACAAATAACTATTTTCTAAGACAACCCTCTTTAAATTTCTCATTGAAACAATGTTATACTACTAATTTCCAAACTGGTATGTACTGGAGCAAAAGTTTGCCTCACAAAGTGTAAAAGATACATTTACTTGACACTATTTATCCCGTATAAAATTTTATAGAAACGAAAGTGAGAGCAGGAAACCCATGTTTCATAAGCCATCAGGTATATATGTCAACTTAACAAAAAATTAGGTGATAATCCAATACAAATATTTTTACTTTGATAAAAAATTAGGTAATAACTCAATTTTTCAGGAGTGCAACCTCAGCCATCACAACCAGGGTTACAACCAGTTTACGTCCCGGTTGTTCCCGTTGTTCCTGTCGTTCCGGTGGGACAAGTACCGGCCGGAGCACCCGCACCAGCAGCCCCCACCCACAAGACCTTCCACAAGCCAAGCTCGGCAACCAAGTCACAGCCGCTTCAAATGCTCTTCATCCCGATAATAATATTTACTGTGACATGGTTGTGAACTAGTTTAGTTTTGTCTGGTTTTTGTTTCAAACAATATGGACGTAAAAAGTTATTTTTGTCTGATACACAATAAAAGCAAACTACTATAAATTGTTTGGATTTAAAAATTGTTTGTGTCATCAGCATCATGAAAAATAACCTCAAATTTATATACAAAACCAAGTTTCACCAATTCTAAAACTAAATAGTTGAAACTGTATTTGTATGTGTAGATTGAGATTCCATATTTTATGAAATTATCTGATCATATTTACCATATCATAATGTAGCTAGCTTATTTAATGTATCATTAAAATTGAAAAAGGTTAATTCATTATTCAATATTGTTAACTGTCAACAATGTACCTATATTTTGTATTATTTACGTTCAAATTAAGCATTTTTAGGAAAATCAAATACTTATTTTTCCAAGCAATTTAACATTTGTAATTGTTGTCAAAGATAATTATCGTAAATAACTCAATACATAAAAACAAATTCGAGTTTTACATATTAATAAATAAGGTTGTTAAAAACTAAACTTTCTATTAACATAAATTACTTTTCTTGGTTATGTTCTCATGTTTGTGTTGTTTTTTTTCTCTTTTATATTCAAACTGTATTTAATTTCTTTACGAATAGGAAAACATATCATGTCATATCACAAATATTACTAGTTTATTAGTATAGCATGTATAGTATTTACATTTGACTCTGTACATATACATTGTACTATGAGTTGTATTTTATCTCCATTGACCTGGCCTATTGTATAACATGTACTTAATGGCAATAAACTATTTGAATTTGAATTGGAAATATAAATGTGTGTGCAATATGAATATAATAATGTCAAGAACATGATAGGAATTGATTTGCTGCAGGATAAGGGAATGAAAAATAAGTTGTGCAAACTTTATCAAACACTTCTTTATGGAATACAGTATTTCAACCACACTTTGCAATTAACTTTAGTAACAATAAATAAATTCATTACTACTTACCAATTAGCAAAGTTAAAAACATTATTTAGTAGCAAAAAAGAACAGCGATAACCACTGTATCAACAAACTCCTAGCTACTAAATTGTGGTTAATATTATTAAAATAATAACTTAACGATTGGTAAACTTAACACATAAGGTTTGAGTAATACTGGCCAATGATGCATTAGGTAGTTTTTAGCCTAATTACAAAAAACAATATCAATGGACTTATCAAGTACATTACAACCTCTCTACGTCAGATCCCTAGATAACTCAATGCAATAACTAAAAATGAATATAAATTATGAAAATATGCATTTAGGTAAGTGCTATTGCTTTATTTAACTCATTAGCGCAACATATGTCGTTTGCCGTTACTGAATATCTGTTGCCTGAGTGTATCGCTGCAAGTATGTTGAGACGTTATAGTTTTTGTTTTATTGTGACGTGTAAACATTTTAAAGGTGTTTTCTCCGTATTTAAATTTGTTGTCGTTTTCAACTTTTCCCGTCGGTAACACAGATCTTAGCTAAGTTGGATCGACGTAAGAGGTTGTGCTTTAATACTTTGTAGTTAATACTGTTTCAACAACACCAACATCTCTCATGTTATACCTAACCTATCAAATGAATAAACTGAATAACTTATCAAAATACAACTTGTACTACTTTTACAAAAATGAAAAAACTCTGTTACACAAACACAATAGAGTTTGTATTAAAAATAATCACACAGTAACATAGCGTAATATAAAACAGGTAATACTGTAAAAAATTAACAATTACATAGTAATCAGTAATAACTATTACCAGCGCTTCCATTTAAGAATTATTCATAATTATTTTGCAAAAGAGAGCAATATTTTATGTCCAACAGTTTTCCCCAAACATAAAAACGGATGCATTCAATACGAAAATACTATGTCTCAGCTAACAAATAAGGGCATAGTTGGCAAATGCAAAATTCCTTGAGGTATTTTTAACAAAAAGTAAACTTGCGAGGTATAAATACAATGACAAATAATTTAGAACTAAAGGAATGCGCTACGAAATCAGACTTGATTTTAGAGACCTTAAGAAAACTGGTAGTATATTCCTAATTAAATCACTTTGGTAACTCGCTTTGGTTACTCGTTACTGGATAGGAACTTAAGATTTATTAACGTAATTCCAAGTTAGTTTTTCTGCGTCTTCATTCAAGTTCTTGTAGCAGAGGTCCCAAACAGGAGTTTGGAATCAGTGTTCCTAAAAAAATGATTGTCAGTTAAGAACTCAAAAACTTTCTGTAACAAAACCTTTAAGACGACGAAGTTGCTGCAATTGCAGAAGACAACGGTTATGTTTCCGTTACCACAGGAGATATCCTACATTTAGCCGCAATTGTGGGGATGACAATGATGTCCCCTTGACCACAGGAGATTTTCAATATTTTGCCGCAATCGCCTAAGACAATGATGAGGTTTCCGTTTCTGCTGGGCATATATAGGTTTTTGTCACAACTGCGGAAAACAATAATGATATTTCTGTGACTACGGAGAATAAACAAGAATCTTGCCCTGAGACGATCATGATGTTCACACGACCATGGGATAATAAATTGTGGTCGACAGGCGAGCAAGTAGAATTAGCAAGGTTCTACTGTATTACAAAAAAAATTTTTCTAACATTTTTTAATTTTTAGGCTATATACTCATACTGTAAACCATAATTTTCTGCTCTGTAAATGTTTGCGGAACAAGTGTAGATATCTTAAAAAGTGGTTTTGATATCTCAATATTAAGCACTATCAAATTCACAACAAATTCACAACAAATACACAACCAAACACAACATGAGATAACCTTTTGATGGATCGATATCTTTAAGTCCTAGGATTATAATTATTGAGGAAAGCTATGGTTAAACAAGTATAGTTTTCTATACTCATCACTCAGCCACTTGCCTCCCCTTGAAATTAAACTTTAATCTATCATTCCAAGTAATACGGAAATACAGTAAAACCTCTTTTAGCTGCACACCGTTAACCAAAACGACAATAAAAAATTCAAATGACATAGAAAATCAGCTTGGCAATAGGAAATGTCCGACGTGGGTAGTTGGCTAGGCTTAGCCAAAGATGGAATGTAATGAAGCTGAAGTCTTTAACTTTAAAACAAATAATAGATCTGAAAATAGCATAGCCTGAAGCTAATCATGATCATTGTAGCCTAATTAGTATGCTGCTGCACACATATAATATGATTGTTGTACATATTAAATCAATATCTAAATTGTTTGACACTATTCATGTGAATATGTCACAGAGATGAATAAAGAGCTTTTGATTTGATTTGATTTGACAGATCTCACACCGCATCAAAGATAAAGTTGTCATGAATTATAATAACAGAATACATTGTTCTACTTCTGGATATCGATTTATATTAATAGTAAATGATTTCTTTACCTTACCCTTGTAAATCGTAAAATTACATGTTAAACTGAAGCTGTAACATTCCAGTCGCAATGAAGTGTGTTTAGACTATATACCCAAGGATATTGTAAGGTAAAGAAATAATTTCTATCAATTATATTTTTAACAAATAGATTTTGAATGTACAGTTGAATATTTTAAGATGATAGTGATTAAAGTAACATAAAAATATTGGTGAAGATCACTCCCTTTTGATCAAAAAAGCCTTTGAATTTCAGCCATTTATCAACTGAAAAAAATCGGTTTTCCGAAAAAGCCTCGCTCCTAATTTTGGTTAGTTCTAATCGGGATTTAACCAGGATTCGGATAAAATTGACTAGAAAACGCAACTCACCAACAATCTTGACTCCGTCGGCTGTACGGAGACGCACCACCTGTGTTCTGTTTTCTTCGCGCAGTATCGCCTCCACCTTGGTCCAAACGCTGAGCACCGAGCCAGCCAGCACGTTGTACTTGCGTCTGCGTAACCCGACCTCACAGTTGTAACCCAAAGTCACCATCCGACAGTTGCCACCCCTAAGGAACATACAATCATTAACTGTTAACATCTGTACAATAGACAAACTGTAAAATAAAACATAACTGTGATAAAAAACTGTGATTTTTAGAGAATTTCTCACATAGGGAATAGTTATTACCGTAGGTTTCATGGTTATCAATAATATAAATTATTTAAGATGAGAACGCCCCTATGTGCGTAATTTAACCCAAATATGAGTGAAGGATGAGTGGCGTGATCTTTAAGTCTTGTTTGTGACTAATATATTCTAGAGGTGAAATACCTTTTTGCATTAATGGTATGTAAATTTACGTAAATGGAAAGTCTACTTACTCAATGGTAGGCCTATATTTGGTTCACATAAATGGAATGGCTATTTAGAGTATTTAAAGTCAATGGTGCATCAGCCTAATTCCGGCGACCCCAATTCGGTTATTCATTTTGTAGTAAATTATGCTTCATGCTATTAATACAATTGTTCTTCCTGTTTGTCCAGTTAGAGATGTCATTTCTGCCGAGTGTATTCCGGTTAAACCGATGTCCGGATACGAGGGAGTCTACTGTACTTAGTTTAAACGCTGCATAAATGCCTTAAAATTATGACATTGAGAGTACCACTTTGAAGTTGTAAATTACCAGTATGCATGTGAACAAGTAGTTAAAGATGACTCGTATTGTTGGATCCAATGTTTCATCGCATCCGATGCTTTCACCTTCCTGTATTTCTTCTTAATTTCCCCCAGAGCGTCTGGCCTCACCTAAAATACAAGCCAACGATTAGTCTACAAACAAAAATTAGTTTATATTAATAATGTACTTTTGTAGAAAAAATAAGTAAATAAATAATTTTTTTCAGAATTCATCTATTTTTTTACATCAACTAAAAAGAAGGTTTTTCACAACGATGTAATTATATATTTAATACATGCAAGTTGTGGTTAACTTGATTATTTAGAAAAAGTGAAGTTGAAGTAAATTAAACAGCTATTTACAAATATTTACTGAATGAACTTACACAGCAATATCACTTACCGTGAATTTAAATCCCATTTTCACTAAACACAAAAACATTGAGTATTAAAATTTTGCAATAAAAATTTTCTACATTTAAGATTATTCAATACTGAAAACTGGATTAAATCTCAGAAATTGTCTAATAAGAGTTGGGGCAAAGTTGCCAGATTTCTGTTGAATTTAATAGTAGCATTGACTATACACAGAATAGACTTCCCATGTAATGTGAAAATTTGAAGCCAAAAAGCATGGTGCAATCTGTTGAGATGGTCTACCAACTAATGACAATATTCTGTGTTTGCTGTGTTCTGTGTCAGCTGGTTGCTATGATACTGCATTGGTTTTATTTTTCCCAATACACTAGTAAACTCTGGTGAGATGGTGATAAAGTCTATTCTGTGTAAAGTCAATGATATTAGCTATAAAAACAGTAGTTCCAATTTTTATCAGACCATTGGGTGTGATTTACAAGGGTCGTTCTTAAATCAAGGGCTGTTTCAGCGTATAGCTTCTTAGTTCGCGTGTACGCCCCAACCAGGCTCCTCGCGGCTTACTGGCATCAGTAGTGAACAGAACAGCGCCGTTTGCAGCTCTGTAGCTGATGTGTACACTTTTACAGTGTCTAAAAAAATTTATATTATTGAATCTCCATTCTGCATGCTAGGTCTATATGATTTTTTACAGCTAGGAACATACTCGTATCGGCTGCAGACATTGATGGCTTATGTTTTAGGCCCTAATGCAATGATAGAGGGTTAAGTGCAGAAATAGGCCAGGAAGTTGTAAAATGGCCATTAAAAAATCCAGGGCTGTGCGAATCCAGAAATTTTGGTTCGAATCCGAATCCGAATCATAGCTGTACAGATTTTATCGAATCCGGATCGAATCCGAATATTTTAATTAATCCCGAGTCGAATCTGGGTCGAATCCGAATCTCAAATTTACAGCCATTATCGAACCTGGATCGAATCCGAATCTGAAATTTAAAGCTGTTATCGAATCCGAATATTTAAACCTGTTCAGAGTCGAATCCAAATCCGAGGAAAGTCAGCAGTACCAATTTTCACATTTTTAGACCACATTTTCTGGGGCTGAAATAACTTAGGGAATTGCTTAAAAAAATTCTTGAAATGGGCCAAATAAAAAAGTTATAAAATTTAGGCCTACCTATTTGAAGTTTTGAAACTAAAAAATTGGGCATAAGTTAGGCATACCACCTAGGCCTAAGTTACTCGCTAAAAGTGATGGACTACCAATTTGTGTAGTCTAAAACATAGGCCCAGCCTATTATACACCTCGGTGTTAATCCTCCACACAAGCCTATGTCTACATTACTATTACAAGTAACAACTAACACTGTGAGGTTAAGTTTACTGATAGCCAAGATAGGGTTCAAATGCGACCTACACTAATGTGCCTAAAACCTAACACCAAGTTGGTCAGGTTCCTAACATGAACCAGTCAACAGCAAATCGAAGTGCACAAGTAGTTTTTTAGTGTCTAAAAAATTATATTGAAAATTATATTCAATCAGAATCTAGTAAATTTGAATATCGAATCCCAACTCGGATCTATTTCCAAGAAATTCGAATATCGAATCCGAACCCGGATCTCTTACCAGTAAATTTGAATATCGATTCCGAATCCGAATCCAGTTAGAAACAGTAGATTCGTTCTCGAATCCGAATCGAATCTCTAAAAAGATTCGGATTCGATTCGTTTTTCGAACTATTCGCACAGCCCTGAAAAAATCCATTTCTGCTGCCATATTATATATAGATAGGTGCCTGCCACAAACCGCCATGGAATTAGTAGCGCTAGAAATATTTATATTTGTTATAAAGAAAAAGAAAAAATGTAAATTGTGTTTGTTAATTTATGTGAATCTATTGGACCTCGCCGACAAGTTTTGTAAACTTGGCGAGGCCAAGATGTTGTATTATCACAAATAAATATATTTGCATTTGAATTTAGGAAGAAATTGTGTTTTTGATGAGTACCTAGACTTTTTAAAGAAGACCACAAAGGAGAAAGGTTTTCAAAACCATTTTACACTCCCTCACCCGTTTTTTTTTTTTATATCAGGGTTACAAGCTTCAGTCATCTGGTGATGAATGTTGGCATCAGATACATTTCTTGTGGTCAAAAAACATATCGCTGACCTTATCTCACATGTGGCGGGAGATTCAATAATTTTTAAATGTTGTCTACACACACAGGGAAGCGTAACTGTCGCTGCAGAGCTGCAAATACAAACAAACTACGGATCTATATGCGAAAATAGTCCTTAAAAAAATTACTCATTATGATAAACTCCTTAAAAGGTATCCTTATGTTCTCAAATTGTATCTAAAAGTTAATATAGGTAAAAGAGGTACTGTGATTAAATTTCATACCTGAAGGCCGGTGTTTGGACGGTAAATAGTGTACATTTCAAATTTGCTTCCTGTGTTTCGATTGTTCGGACTCACTGCCAAAATGGCTGTTTGTTTTCCATTACGTATCTGAAAAACACATATTTTTATACACAATTTTTACTATGCTGTATTCCTTTATTGTTTTGTTTAAACACCGTCGTAGTTTTAAACAATCTTGTAGTTTTTCATTTTTATTTTTGTATATTAATCTCCTTATCTGACACAAACCGGGTGGAGGAAGGTCAAATATACAAAAAATGCAGTTACCGTAAAAATTAATACTAACCAAAAACATGATAAAATCCATTCAATAATAAGGGTGGCAAAAGGAGTTGTGTTGTTTGGGTGCTACAATGATTGTCATTCTTTTTTTTGTCCTAGGACACTAGGCACGAGCGCGGATTGTTTTTCACAATTCTTCAGGCTAGACCTAGGGGTTACGGCATTATCACTTAGATAAAATCCATTGGCGATTTAGCAGGATTTGAACCCAGGACCCCAGGAACCGGAGTCCCGCGCTCTAACCACTAGACCAGCTCGCTCCCCATGTAAGTCATACTAGGCCTACCAAATATCACAGAACTGGATCATTCACAGGAGGGCCAGATAACATGGCAGATAAGAAATCCAAAGAGTAATGTAATAACTTTTATTGTTAAAACTTTATTTATTTCGGACAAGGTTCTTCTCCTGAGGTGTCTAATCAAGGGGTCCACTGTTGCATGCAAACTTTATTTAGAACTAAACATTCCATTCTAGTTACAGTTGTAGCTAGTTTCAGAATCAAAATAGAAAAAGTTGAACCAGATCTAACATACTCTTTGATATGAGATTTTTATGGATCAGGTAAAGACAATTTTAATCTTTGTCCAGCTCATGTAGGGGTGTGTTTTTCTTTCCAATTTGTTCCCAGTTATTTCAAAACTTGTTTAATCACATAAAACAATCTTATCAAACAAAAGCTTGTACATCTGATTTTACAACCCAACAGCAAAGCTAAATAATAAAACTACCCATTCAATTAGGGAAAATGTTTTAGACGTTAGCTGAGTGCTGAGGAACACATTAACACATCGCCAACATGAACCACACAAAAAATAACACATATTAAAAATAAATAATAATACCCGACTTTTGGATACTGAAGTAGACGTTCAATCTAAATTGACCAGCTGTCACCAATTTTGCAATAAAGAAAGAAAACATAGTTGAGTGAGTCAATCACAGAATGCGCATATATTTAAAATTTAATTTCCTACCTTATTTTTAGTCGCTGGCATAACTGATGGGTAATAAAAGTTGCTACAACTCGCAATAGGATCCATCAGTTTGGCTTGGTAAAAGTTTGAATATTTGACAGAAAACAGTAATTTACATCAGCATAATCTGTCGGTGGCTCATAACAATGAAGATTTTGATTAAAACACTGGTGAGAACTTGAACATGGGTAAGGATTGTCTAGTTGACACAAAATACCTGATGTGAGAGGTAGAAGCCTTCATCATCACCGGTCAGCTGTTCGGCCTTCCTCATTGCGTCTTCCCAGCTGAACCCTCTCTCAACTCTTACAACATGAATCTCCGTCATGGCAGAGCCCGTGGCGTGTTGACCCAAGAAAGTGTGCAGCTCCACATGGTGAACATTGTCTCCTGCTGTCCCCAAGTCTGAAACGCACAATCAGTTAGGTCTCAAGTCTAGATCCCATTTACATGGTTTAGCTGTAGCCGGTTTAAATTAAACACGCTGCAGAAAACCTGCAAAGTTTTATCAAACTTCCATTTGCCTGATTGAATTTTTACTAAATTAGATTTAATGAGTATTTGAGAAAGTACCTAAGAAAATTCTATTGTAAAAATTCCAGGCAAGTCTGCCCTCACAAGTCAAAGCTCTTTTTTCCTGAACCCTAAAAACCTAGGCCCTTGTACTCTATCTTAACCCTTATTTTAAAAATAATTATTTTAAGCAAAATATCTAGGATTAAAAGAATGGGCACAATGTGACAAAGTGAAAAAAAACTGATTCAACCTACAAAGAGAAAAAATAAGAAATAAGTAGTATATGAGCTTGGAATAGTCCCAAACACCTGTACTTAATCAAGAAAAAACATTTCTCGAGCACAGAAAAACTTAACCAAAAATTGTTCTCATACCTAGTATTCCCAAATCGTATCTGCCCGATTTCTTAGCTTGATTGACGATTGCTTGTAGGGTGTCCATAAAGTACTGGAAGAGCCGGTTCTGCAGCTCAACTGGCAAACCAAGGATCCGGTTTAGGAACCGACTAATGTTGATTTCCCTCTCCATTGTATGGAAGCCGTTCATGCTTTTCAAAATCACTCCCACGCCGACCAAAGCATCAGTGCAATCTGTGAAATACATGTATTACTTTTGGTACAAATAATGCTGGGTAGGTTATTGGTTAGTAGTTATTGGTTAGGGGTTAAATTTTACTAGGTCAATTCATCATGTATATTGTCTACACACACAGGGAAGCGTAACTTCTGATTCTGGTGGGATGTCCACTTCAGAATCTAAAAGCCAATCACAATATTTACTGTGTCAGATATGTGATTCAGTCAGTGGTTGTAATGGCTAAACATGTGACAAATAATTTAATGTGATGCTGAACGAATCTAAGGATGTGGTCACAAACTCTACATGTGAAGGATATTGTCTATCATACATTGACTTTTGCTTGTATACTGAATTCTCAGCAACATTGACCAGCTCTGGCCCATTTTTTATGAATATAGTTAAATAAGCCAATTACAGGGGCGGCTCCAAAGGACAGGGCCTACCCAAAATTTTGGTAGATATTTCAAAATTATAAATAACTAAAGAAAATTCATTATATGTAAATAAAGGGAAAGCATTCAAATTCAAACTAATTATTTTGCATTTAAATTTTAAAATTCCCCCTTTTTCGGGGAAGCCCTACAAACCATACAGCTAGGCCTAAGGTATTTCAATGATTGTAATTGGATTCCATAAGTTAGTGACTACTTTAACATAGCAATGGATCTCCAGTTCTACCAATAGTCAGTCAAGTTACAACGAATGTATTTACCCTTGAAGAAGTCTCCCTTGTAGTCCTGAGGAGGAGGCACCAGCGGGGCCACCTTGTTCAACACGGCGTTCATGACAGACGTGAGGGCTGTGCGGCCGTACTTGGTGTCAATGTTGTACTGGGATAAATCCCGTACTTCTGTGGCACGCCGGTCACCATGAGTCAAGGCTCCCTGCAACATTTAACTAAGTTTGGAATTGTGTTGCAGCATTAAACTGTGATTTGACTTTTCTCTGACAACAGTTGGACATTTGTTGTGACATCTAACTCTACGGATTTAACATGGCAAAGGTTTATTAAATCAGTTGATAGAATACTTGACAATCAATCAGACGTTTTTGCATCGTTTGCACATGATTGGGGCACAATAATTATTTTCTCCCACGATTGTAGGAACATCATCATTGTCACTCCACACTATCAGCATTCCGTTTCATCCCCCACGATTGTGAAGACATGATTAACAATCAGTGCAAAATGCCTGAAATGGGCAGATCCCATCCCAAACGTTTAAAGATTAAATGTAATCCGGCCCTATATTTCTGAATTTGTCCATCCCTTACCATTTAAGAGTCCTTGAGGTGACTTTTACATACCAGACTCTCCAAACGCTTGGCCACTATGGAGGCGAATCTTCTCTCTCCAGCCAAGTTAGAGATGAGGAACATGTACTCTGGGGCGTTGACTTGGTTGCTGCGGTGGGTTCGGCCTACAGCAACAGACAGATATTAACAATAGGGGTGGCAAGCTCAATGAATGGGAAAAAGTTTATTCAGACAAGAAACAAAAATTGTTACACTACGTTCCGTGTGCCAGGGTGGATCCAATAAAATGTCGGAACCAGATCCGGATCTTGAAAAAAGAACGGGTTTAAAAAACGTAATATTTACAGAGATCCAATTTAAATCATACTGTTTTAAATTAAATTGGTAATCTTTAAAGGCTCATGTAATAAGATATTGAATAATATAGTTTATATGGCTAGGCAATGCCACAGAATATATCGACGTCTATAAATTATATGGCTAAGCAATATCCCTCATTTTTAGTGGACCCTAAAATGGGCACAGATAATCTTCTCTAAAAAAGAATGACAATCATTGTAGCACCCAAACAACACAACTCCTTTTGCCACCCTTATAATTGAATGGATTTTAAAATACACCACTAAGACAAAATCCCTGTTCTTATGTATGAATTGTACTTTATAAAAAACGTTTTTGTTAGTAAAATAATAAAAAATAATTTTTAAAAATCGGATCCATTAAAACCGGATTCAGCCTAACATTTGATTTTTTGTGGATCCACAAAATAATCCACAAAAAATTTTTTTTTAGGTGTTGGTTCTAGCTCAGATCCGGTGGATCCGGTAGTCCGATATCCGGATCCGACCATCCATCACTCATAGTAACTTTAGGTAGTTTGGTTGTAAATAAATGGGGTTTATGATGAAATATCATCAATCATGAAGAAACATTTTAATGGTAGTATAAGTGTAGTTTTGAAGCTGTACCAAGTTATCTTACTAAAAAAAGCAAATGTGTAAAAGTTACATAAACTTTTGAGAGATTTTCCAGTTCAAAACTGTATAAAAACTGCTATGAAAAGCTGACAAAGTGTCTTAAAAATCCAAGAAATTATAGCACTATCCAGACTCTAGTGTGGTTAATTTCCTAAATGAGATGATAGTGCTTATCATAAATCCTTATCATAAATGCTGGTCCAATCATTACCCGAAGGGTTAATAAGGAGCATCCTGTACCCAGTATCACAAATGAGATCCTCAGTTTATTGGTCTGCAGGACTCGGTCTTTTGCCGAGCCAGGATAGAGACGTGGGGCTAATAGCCCAATACCATCAGCTCAGAAACCCAAGCAACAATTACGCAACTCTCGCCATCATGTGCGATGAGAAAAGCTCACCATGAATTAAGTGAATTACATTTCAAACTTCTGTATTATTATGGCTTTCCAACCTAACTGAAGGATGTACATACCAAACTGCTGTATGGCTCGGTCAGCGCTCCAAGGTAGCTCCAGGGTGATATGTACTCTCCGTCTCTGGTTGGTCACTCTGCGATCACTCTGTAGAGATATGCCGGAGCTAGCTGCCTCCGAGATTATGGCAATCACCTTCTGTCCATCCATGAACCTGCTTTTCTCTGAAAAAACACACAGGGTTAGCTAGGATACTGAAGTATACATCTTACCTGGATGGACAAACTGTGGCGAATATTTTTAAAGAAGTTGAATGATTTTTTAACACAGTTTCATTTTGAATTACTTCATTTATTGAAAGACAGAGTAACAAAAATAATTACCAGTCAAGTTGAGAGTTTCAAGGGAACACTCAGATTCGCCTCTAGACTCGTAATGGATACTTCCGTCTGATCCTTGCACCACTCTACCCTTCCTTCCAGTCATCTGGAATAAAACAATAAAAAACACCTCATTATTTTTTTGTTTTTTAGACTACTACTTAACGTTCCATTTGAACCACACAGCTGCATAATCTAAGCGAAATGCTAAATGAGAATAGTCAGACTGGAATTTTGCCACCAAAATGAGTTTCGCGTGGCCGTCGCTTGAATAGCACGCGTGGTGGCTGCGCTAATCCATCTCTCTCTTCCTTTAAGCCGATTCTTCGTCTCACTCAGTCAGCTGACTTGGCCGCGGGCTCGCAATAGTATACCTAGCAGCCACCGCGGGAACTATCCAAAATTCAAATATTTCCAGACTTAATTTTTAACAAAGGCATTGCGCTTCTTGAAGGGTTTGTATTGATTTAACATTGCTACTTCTTTAAAATTAACGTAAATATTTAAATAATGTGACAATTCATTCCATTTCTCCTCATGTTTCTGGTATAAATTTATTTATTTTGTTTCCTCGGTGTAGTTTATTTCGTGTGTAGTAAAAGCAATATAAAGGAAACTCACGTTTTATTTACAACTAATATTGGCTTTTATTATTTAAGTTTCAATGGAATTTCAATTTATTATGATGGAAATTTTAACCTGGCAATCCACAACACATTTGTATCCATACGAACATACAAGCAAACAGGATAGGATTGCTTAGGTTAAGTTTTCAGAGACTTATCCAAACTCGTTCCCCAAGCACAGGCATCATGTGGAGAACTATCTATATATTTAAGGATTAGTACATAACGTGTTTTATTTATTTTGACTGGTTTTCACTTAGATGAAAATTTACTCACCTCAGCCACATTCTCGGGACCTCCGAGTTCATCTATCAACTGGTCCAGTGTGTTTGGAGGCAGCCTCTTTCCCAAGTGTTCAATCTTGTCCAACAGTTGTTCTCGCATGGCACAGGCCTTGTCTGTAGCTGTCATGTTACCTGCAAAAAACCAACAGTGTAGGCGAGTACAACCCTGCAAACCTACTCAAAGTTACTGACACTTCACGTTCTGGGAGTCGGGTTCAGTGATGGTTTAGCCTCTGAATTAAGATATTGCAAGATTAAGGTTACCTGTTGTGTCAATTTATCCTTGTTGTGTTATAAATAAACTAGTCGAGACTCATCATCAGTTACGCACCTCATGATTGGAATACTTGAACAAGTATTTTATTGTAAATACATAAATGTCATGTCTGTATGTGTTTGGTGTTATGTGTCCCAGAAGAGTTGTGTGTAGATGCTGATGACCTGATTCATGGATGAGAAACTGTTTAACGTTCTAACCTGAATATGTTCTCTTAGCAGCACGAAACAGCTGTGGTTATTTATAGCTCAACAAGGATCAATTGACACAAAAAGTAACATAAACCTTTTTTAATATTGTCATGTTTAGAAATACTTGGACTTTTAGTTTACTTTTGTTGATCGAACTGACTATCCACCATTGCTGACTGGTTTTATAGACTGTATAATATTTTATAAGTTACAATTTACATTATTTACACTTATCAATTTTTAACCTATGAATGCCCTACACCCTGACCAAGAATAAAGCAGGACCCACAACAGAGCCTTGAGGCATTCTGTGTGCTAGTGGTAAAGGAAGCGAACATGCTCTGCTAACAGACATCACTTGCTCTCTAGAAAAGTACAATCTGACTGAACCCTTGCTAAGGTGTCTTATCAATATCCAAGCTATATAAGATGTTCTCCGGCCTCCAGGACTGATGGTTCAATTCCCGTCTTGGTCAGGAGAGGAGTTGCAACTCCTATCTCTGGCAGAGCTCCCCAAGATAACATTGGAAGGTTTTGGTGGAAGATGTCAGGACGTAGATTATTTGTGATGTGCACCTCCAAAAAGGTATTTTACTTTCTGCTTACCCTTGTTGTTTATTACTGCATAAATACAAAGTATAGAAATGTAAAAAGTATGTCTTTCTTAGCTTTCCAGTACCAAAGTCTACTGCTCAAACTGTATTTGTTCAAATAAATGTTCAATATCAATATACAAAAGACAGTACCTTTATTTTTTTGAGATTCTTCCACATCGGTGCTTGCAGAGTGTTCTGATGTGGAAGAATCAGAATCGGAATTACTGAAGGAAAAGCTAGATTCAGAATCAGAACCTTCACTTTTCTCTGATTCACTGCTTGACTCTTTCTTCTTTTCCATTTTTACCTTCTTTGCAGCTACTATGGCTGTCTGCCTCACTGAAAAATTCAAAACTGTAACAAATCTAGGTTTTAAAATTGTTTTAAATATTTTTAATCTAAAGTAAATTACAAGTTTGGACAAATCAACCTATGCAAGCAAATTTGTGTGGTAGTAGGTGTGTTTTTCAATATTTGCATTCATGTTTTTACACTTGATTAGTTGGAATTTATCAAAATAAAATAACTAACCTGTCAACTTTCTCTTCTTTCCCACACCATTGTAGTTCCCATTGGTTATGCCAAGACCTTTGATTCCTAATAGTTTGTTGACTTTATTTCTATCAGGAGCTGGAAAATGTTTTTCCACCAGTTGCTGCAAGACTGTCCTGTGAAGAAAAACATTTAACAATTTATTTATTGTTATACATGGAATTAGCTGTAATGGCATTGGATTTCTTGAGCAGCAAACCGAAATAACACTTGGCGTATTTTTAGAATGAGCACAAAATATCACTGACTGGTATAAATAGCTGCAAAACATGCAATATTTAGGTCGTAATGGTTAGTGGTAGTTAATGGCTTATTCCAAGCATGGGAAATTCACAAGGCATAGTTAAACCATTGACTAATCCCAGCGACAAACACTCACTTGGCTGTACCAACAAACTCGTTGATTTCTCCGTCTTCTTTGAGGGTCCCGATGGTCGCAGCTTCTCCCGTGGATTGCAGACCAATCACAACAGACTTTCCCATCTTGACGGCTTCCCTGGAGAACGTAACTACGATTACCATCAATGTTATAGAAATTCTAATTGTTTCAATCATTCACCAAATAAAAAAATACCATTAAAATTCTTTTGAACAAACCAATAAAATTGCTTCAGCGAAGTTACCTACATTATAAAATATATACCTTACCACAATAATACAGACATCCTTATATAAATATATGAATACCTGTGTAAAACTAGATAAATTCTAAATACACATGCTGTGACTTTGGTTTATTATTGGTCTACCAATAGTCTAACAATTGAAACACTGCAAATAAATTTCATATCTCCTCCCTTTAACCCATTTAAGGATTGTACTTTCATCAAAAGATTCTTGACAATAGAGGGTGCTAACATTATACGTTTAACTGTAATTATGACAGTTTAATAGGTGTTTGTTATGTTTACTATTTATTATTGGAAGTACTAGTTATTGAAATCACATAAGATAAAAAGTTAATTGGTTTAATATTAATTATACATATTAAAACGTGACAGGGTTTTTTATTTGATTGATTTTGAATCAACCACTTGACTGATTTTCATGATTTTTGTGTTGAAAGAAAGATAATTTTGAGAACTAGGGGATCTCAAAGTCATAATTTTAGTTTAGGCTTCCAGTTTTTTTAGAAATTAAGTTTTAAATTTAAAAAAGTCTAGCAGCCGACGCTAACATTCTACTCTAGCTTTTGGTATAATACCATTTTCATAACGTAACGGCTGTAAACATTCAGCATTTTTGACACAAATTCAGCATTTGGATGAAAATGAAATGACATACGTAGAATTGACTTATTTATACTATGTTTAATGCTATAATTATTGATACGTTCATTTATTCGGTAAGAGGATGAGAGGTTATTTACATAAATTAGAACATCTAGTATTTTACTATGTATAATATACATAGTAAAATACTAGATGTTCTAATTTATTTTTTTCTGCAGTATTTAAAATATTTAGTTTGTTTTAGTGCATATAATTTGTTATAACTAACAGCTGATTGAATAAAACAATATTCTATAGAACTATGAGGTTAGTTTATTTACTCTGTGATTTTGTCATTGATTATAGGAAATAGGTAAGATTCTATAAACATTGCTGTATACGAATTGAAGATCACGAATCTTCAAAAGAAAGCTTATGAACATTATTTTACTCGACTTTTTGAGGAAAGGTTGGGAAAATAACAATGAAAACATGTTTTAATTCATCTTGGCAGCTTTGTCTTTACTATAAATTTGGAACTGCTTAAACTATGCTTGAATTAGTAATAGACACGCTATATACAGTTTTAATGGACTACTCTATTCCCGTACGTAGGACGGGCCAACATCTCATTGGTTTAATTTCAAAGACCTGAACTTTTTCTCTTCAGGCGAACCAGGAACTTGGACTTTCTTAAGTATTTTAGAGTTTAAGTAAAGAAGACATTTACAGGTATCTAGAGTGACGAATGGCAATTCCAGTAGTTTCAGTTACCTGGTGATTGCGACAGTTCGCTCCACTTTAGCAGCGATGCAAAGGTACTTGAAGAAACGCTGGTGAGAACCCCAGAATTGTCTAATAATTGTCATCTTATCTTTGGCAGGGACTTCCATCAGTTCAATGGCCGTTTGGAAATCGTTAAGCATTTGTACCCACTGGGAAAACATAAAGTGTTACATTACTTCTCAATACAGGGAACTATGTATAACACAAATAGGTAGAAGTGGAGTAAAAGTCAGAAATAAGTCCTGGGTTCAGGTCTTACCACGAGTACTACGGTAATAGCTTATTCCCTATATGGGAAATTCGCTAAAATTGAAGTTAGCATATACAGATCCTGAAATCCCATTTTTTTAAATTGACTTTGATGGAAAATTTACAGACCAATCACGATCACCAAAAATGAACTTCAAAGACTACTACAGTATTTAGAGCTCACTAATCCAAATTTAACTGTTGGGTTTCCAAAGAGAAGTTTACTTACCAGAGCAACAGAATCGTTGTAAGCTCGAACAAACTCCGGAGACAACTGGATCTCGTCGATGTTAAACGTAACTCCGTGGAAGCTGAGTTGGCGAGCAATGTAGATCCCTCGCAGCTTCATGTCCATCGCGACTATTTCCATTGCACCAACTCCTCTGCAACAACAAATGTTTTACAATCTCCGTACAAGCCCATCAATCAAGGTTTCACACAACTAATTCTTGTTTTATTAATAAACTTAGTTTTCTACCGACGGTCAAAAAACACCAAAACCATTGGAAACATATTTTTTCAAACTCAGACCTTCTGATGTTAAACACCCTTTACCTGGATAATGATATCAGTAAGAGTAAATATTATATTTTTCATAAGCTTGAATGTACTCTTTCCAATTAGGTTAACCTGCTATCTCAAAAAAAAATCTCAAAAAAAAAAGTTCTATGGCTAATTTTGTACTTAGTTGACACAACACCACCTTACCTCTTCTCTACGGAGTTTATAAAGTCCATGAAGTCCGGGAAGGGCGTCCCTGTCCCCCAGATGCCCAGCCGAGTCATGTACGCCATGTTGCGAGGTTCGGACGCCCCGGTGGCAGACGCGTACACCACACGAGCCAGCGGCAACCGCGACTGCAGCTCCACGACTGCCTGCGCTGCCTTCGTAGGCTTTGCTTTGGTCACAACTAGGTTTTTGGCTTTATGGGACTCATCAAACACAATCTACCAGCGAGTTAAGAAAATTATAAGAGTAAAGTTCTAAAACTACTCCTTAATTTTGTTTTCACAACCCTCAATTGCAAGTGCACTTTTCAAATCCCATTGAAAACACCATAGCACATAATGTCAAATTTATCTCTAAAACAAGATTTCTAAATCAAAATGTATGAAGCCTTTTTGCTAAATCATTATGTAGCTTAAAACCTCTTTAGTCTAACAAGTTGTTTTAAGAAGTTAACTTTGATAACACAACTCTATTCGTAACTGTATTGAACAGTGTATCCCCGTGACAATTCTCCAAGAGATGTTTTGGAGGAAACATTGCCTTTTCAGACTCAAGAATTAGAACAAGTATGAATTTGAAACCCTCGCTCCATATCGCAAAAATTAAACTCTCGAGTATTTGATTAAATATAAATTTGATTTACCGATCTATTTTAAAATTTAGTTTCACAATGTCCACAGTTCAGTACTAAAAATTATAATAAAAAAAAAATTATTTTCTTAAGCTTTGCTCATCAGAAATGCATGATCAGCATTGTACGTGTTATTAACTATCTGAAAGTACAAAAATATGTCAAATAACACTCTTGTCCTGGATCCTCGATAGTTGTCTATTTGGTTAAGGATACGACTCCGTCGAAGTTGTCTCCGCACCAATCCAACAGCTGTTCCATCCGTGTTTTATGCCTTCCGCCCAAGGTGGACGATGAAGACAACAGTGAGTAAGTGCAGAATATCACTCCTTCCTCTATCCAACCGTTGGCTGCAGACGACAGCTTGTCGTACTTCAGCTGTGAAAAGGAATCAAATTACTAACTAACGTAACTACCCTTTAATTGTCAGTGAGATCGTCAAATACAAACGTAAATTGTAATTTATGTTCTTTATTGATGAAAATGAAACTAGACATTCTAAGTTGAAGTAAGAAGTTTTAGAATCAAAATGAACCTACAGTAGAATCCTGGTTAACCAAAACGGTTCCATAAAATAATACATGGCCAAAATATAAATAACAGTCATGTAAAATGCTTATTAGTAACTTCAGTTGTTTAGTTTAAAGTATTTTCTAACCCATTGTAACATTTATGTAGCTGAAATAAAATACTGTATTATAAAGACATTGTTTCAAATTCATTTTTCCAACTCACCGAGGTAATACATACGCTATTTATAGCATATGACGGATTAACCGAAAATTGGTTATCCGAAAAAGCTCTCCCTCCTTTTTTCGGTAAAACTGGGTTCTACTGTAGTTGAATTCAGCCACAGTGTAAAGTAAATTACTGATTTCTTTTCAATACGCCAACTTTTTTACCGAGTGAAAGTGATTCAAATGATTGAAAGAGAAGTGGCGCAATCATTAAACTCATGTATGTACCGAAGGAATCGAACCTAGGACAATATTTAAGACTGAAAATTAAGCTTATAACTCATCTGTCATGTTAGCCTAGTTTCCAACAAATTGAGTGAAGTGAATGAATCATAATATTTTGTGCCACACAATCACTAGTCACAAAATAACAAAACAAATCTCTATAAAATTATTGAACTAATTAAATAATTAATTGTGTTCTTCAAAACTGTTTGATACATGAGTATGAAATGGAAATACCAATACTCTAAATGAAAAATTATATTTAATATATGAAAAGCAAGTACATTTTGCTTACACAATTCTTATGAAGAAACAGAAAAGAGTTTGAAAGTTAAGTAAACAAGACAATTATAAAATAACTCAATCTCAGTAAAAATTGTGTATGTTGACAAGTTGATATAAGTTTTACGTAGCAATAATGTCAATTTTACAATACCCCACCTTACTCAAAGCGTAAACTTTGATATTTGTTGCTCCGATATCATCAAGATCCCTCTCGCTGTCATATTTTAAATCGGCAGACACTGAAATCCATATGGCTTTTTTCCTTCCCTGCAAGTAGTTTTCAAAAATGCAGCCAGCAACTGTTCGGCCTTTTCCTACACCAGCTCCGTCACCTTTAACAACATTTTTATCAATTAAATGTTTCACATTTGATTTAATTTATATTAGTTCTTGATTCAAAACTAAATCATCTGTAATTGAAGGAAACCACAAAAAACTTATAGAATAAGAGATAAACTTTTATGTATCTCTTTGATTTTGTTTTAAATAGAAAGAGCAGGTTCAGCTGTGCAGTGGGGGAGTCTTCTCGATAGGAATCACATTTATTCACATAATGTTAATGTATTAGAGTCAATAACCACTTTGTCAACACAAAGAAAGTATGATTGTTATGTTGGTGTAGGATGCAGTAGGTCACTATATTTTAACAAGTTTTTATTTTCATGATTAGTTGTCTGGTTAATTCACTGGTTATAGTCATTAAGCCTGTTCAAGGAAGGATTTAAATTAAGGTTTGTGGGGTCCCTGGAGTTATAAATTTGTTTCTTATTGAGAAGACTCACCCACTGTACGAGCATGCTTTTCCTATAAAAAATCAAACCTACTCTGGCCTAGAGCCCTTCCCCTTACCAATAACCTATATTATCTTCTTAAATATTTATCTTCCAACTCAGAAAACTGATACAATTTACGACAGTATTCTACGGCTGACTCACCGATGAGGAAGCCGGCCCGACTACCGTCTGGCAGAAAGTGTTGGTGTTGCTGCGCCGCGTAAGTGATGGCCTCCAGCTGCAGCGCGGACAATGCGCCACTCTCTACGACGTGAGAAGGTAGATGCAGCTCGTAGTCGATGTCGGGAGGGGCAACACTAGACAAGGACGCAGTCTCCACCACAGGGTCCGGGTGTCGCTTGCCAACCTTCACTGTAATCATTATCACCTTACGATATTAGGTGTTCAACTAACGCTTATAGTTTTTGTGTTTTTCGTATTACGTGTAAAATGTGTTTGTTATTTTGACGACACCTCAAGAGGATCCTTGTGTCTGAGGATGGTGGAGTTATAAACAACCACCGAAACATATATAGCAAGTTTTAAACTACACTACAGTTCATGTTTCCGAGGATGTTACATACATGTTACTACAGGATTTTCCGAGATGTTATGTTTAACCATTATTTGTCATTAAATGCAATCCTAGGGTTATCAAATTAAAAGTAAAATTCTCACTCACATTTGCTTGGCATATAATCAGCGTACGTTTCAGCCACGGCCAAGTCTTCATCATCGCTGCCTTCTTGAGTGACCTGCTCTCTTAACTGGAAAATAATTTTTTTGATCAGCATTGCACGTGTTAATAAATTTACGGAAAGTAAATAAAAAGTAAGTCTAATAACATTTAAAAAGGGTAGCTAACAAATTCAAGAAATAAAGGTTGGTGTATAGTTGATGTTATTTATTTTGTCTGTTTTTTTTTAGATTGTGCTAAAATGGTTGACAAAGTTGGCCGTGGCCTAAGTGACTAAAAACATATAATAAACAAGAGCTTAAAGCAATACAGTTTTGGTTATTTCTAAGGGAACTTAGAAGTTAGAACTTAAATTGGGATTTTCAAATGGTAATTTGGACGTATACTAAAAATAATATACGGTACATTGATTGACTAATACCATAGATGAAGTAATAGGCTATAATATAATATTACTTCATCTATGCTAACACGTACATTAGTATACACACGTTAATGAAATTAGTGCGTAAGAAAGTGGCTTCGTGGAACCAAAAAGACAAATACTACCAAAACCTCAATCATTGTCCAATAACATTAAATCAAAATGTTCTCAATCATCAATTTTCAAAACCGAAAACAATAACAAAAACTAAACTACAAAACTAAATAGTAAAGTTGCCTAAAAACACAAAATTACAAACAAAATTTAATGTAATCAACAAAACGTTTAACAACAACAAGTTAAGTTTAATAACTTAAATAAAAACACAAATGCTTTGTGCTGTGTGCACTGTGACTGTGGAGTGTTGTGAGGAAAGACCGAGAGACTGGCTGCAGTGTAGGAGCGTCAACCCGCTTCCGGTCTGAAGAGTCTGGTCTGATCTGGTCGGGTTGGCTGATCAGAAAAAAATCTGCTTCCAATGTAGGTCATGCCTTAGGCTAATTGATGAGCAAGTTGTTACTCTAGTTGTACTTAAGTAGGGACGCCATCAAGGTTCTTGTCATTAACCATTAGGTCTGATGAAGTTTGGAGTGTCCAATCAAAATTGATCACCGCTTATTTTATGACATGGACATTGACAGAATTGATTAACGTCAAGAACAAGCTCCTACATCCAGCAGTTTAATGAGGCGGTGAACCACGATATCTTATCTGCGTCCCTCTCCGTAGCAAGCAACTGGTTAGTATTAAACCTTTATAGCTTAATCGGCAAAAGTTCAAGTATTGAACGTGTTTCTCTTCAATTTTGGTGATTTTGAGATACATCAATTTAAGTAGGCCTACTTCTTTCAACTCAACTATGTTTAGCACTTAATAACCTATAACACGTTAGTCTATTATATATATAATAAATATATATCAAGAGATTACCGTTTTTTCATCAACTTTTTTTGTTTTTTCTTTGGGCTTCTTACTCTTCTTTTTGTAGTTATTTCTCCTCCGGTATCTGCCAAATATTCCTCCTTAAAAAATTAACACATTAAAGAAATCTGTTGATTTGAATCAAAATACAGAACATGTTTCAAAAGGACCTGTAACTGTTTTCATGTTAAAATGATTTAGACTACATTGAAATTAGTGAATAAATAAATCATTACTCAATGTTAAATAACCTGTTTCACCTTCCCCGTAGCAGCAAACCTAAGTACTTGTTAAATCTAATGTTCTTGAATGGAGTAAAAATCTAATCAGATGAATTTAAATTCACTACGTCTGCAAATTTGCTGCAGGCTGGTCATTTAATGTTAATTTAAATGGCTTTGTTTCAAACAGTCTTTCTGTAATCCCCCATACATAGCCATATGTGAATTTCCATTGTTGTCTTAAACCAAAACATTTAGCGCAATTAGAGCCAATAATATTTGGACACCCTTCAACAGTGTTTCCAATGGTACCTCAAAAATTAAAAAGCTCAAGGTTGGTGAACTCGTTTTACTTCCAAGACACCAGAACTTCTCCTCAATGTTGGCCATTAGGTCGAATAATGGAAACTTCAACTGGTCAGCATTGTTGGAGTGGTCAAAAGTAAAACAGCAAACGGACTGAATACAACACACAACAAAACCCATCGTTTAAATGTTTTTTTTTTATTTTTTTATTATTCAAAATACCTCCCTTTGCTTTGTTCTTGTTAGATAATTATGAATTTTATGTTTTTGTTGAATCAGGTTGGTTAAAGGGGAGGGGGTTATGTTCTGTAATGTGATATTTGTGTTTTTTGCATAATTTTAAATGTCTTCACATCTTGTGATGTAAAAGTACTTTATTCCTAAGGCTTCCTGTAATCCCCCTCACATGGCCATACCTATATAAATTTCCATTGTAGTAAACATACTCGTTTTTTCATATAAAACAAACCTTATGGTACTGGTACCTAAATCTTAGGTACTTACGTTTGCTGGTACAGAGAGGTAATAAAGTGTTTTTTTTATTAAAATGTTAATAGTATGAAATAAACCATGTAGCCTCATTTTAGCGAATTTCCCTATAGGGAAGTAGCTATTACCGTAGGTGGCACGGTAAGACCTAGACCCGGGACCGATTTACTTTTTCATTTTGATGTCCCCAGAGGCCAAAAACACTATTCGTTCAAATTTTTATATATATATATATATATATATACGTCCGTGAACGCGATAACTTGAGTAATTTTTGTCCGATTTTGATGAAATTTGGTTTAAAGGTGTAAAGCGGGATAAACTTGAATGAGATTACGAAACCAGCACGATCGGACCATGGGAACGGGGCTTTACGGGGGGTTTTATGGGGTAAAAATTGGTTTTTCTCACTTTTGACCCTCAAAACACAAAATTTCCCAATTTATCTTTAGACCTTTTTAAAGAGCTTAAAAAAAACAAATAATTTAGTATATAAAAGTATTTTTGTTCGATTATTAGTAACGGAGAAAATTAAAAAAATTGTAAATTTAAAATTCCCATGTTATTCTTATGGAGAATATTGTCAAATGTTGTAGTTTGCTTGTTTATGAATATATTTTGATCAAACTTGGCAAATTTATTTATTTTGTACTAAGCTATCAATATTTTACTCAAAAACATACTTTATTAGTTTCCTTGTAGCAGCAAACCTAGGTACTCGTTAAACCTAATGTTATTAAAATATATTTAACTGAAAATCAATTCAGACAAATGGAAATTCGCTTAGTCGGCAGGTTTGCTGCGGCGGGGGTATTATCTTAACATATACGTTTAAAAATAACTACAACAGTTTACTTTATCTCCATCAAAATAACATAGGAGTTATAAATTAAAAATTTGTTGTAATTTCCTCTATAACCATTAGGTGTACAACGCTTCAATATATACTTAAAAAATTGTGTTTTTTCAAAGCTCCACAAAATAGTTTAAAAACTCGTTTTTTGTTGAAAAATTTAATACACATTTTTACCAAATTTGATCAAAATTGGTTAAATATATAAATAAATTTTAACGGATGGTGGTTATGGCCTCTGAGGAGATCAATACAATTAAGAAAATCGGTCCCGGGTCTAGGTCTTTTTACGAGACCTACGACCTGTGGTAAAACCTTATTCCATATGGGAAATTCGCTAATTAGTCTAGTTGAATGACCTGATGTTTTAAGGACTGTCAATATCTCTTTACTGCAAAATGAACAAAGAATGGAATACAGGAACCTGTTTTTGGCTGATTAATGAATTTAAGATGAGCGTATCATATGGTGTGGGACAAATCAAACTTTTCATGCTTTTAAAACCAAGCATTTCACCTTGAGATTTGAGAGGCTGACTTGGTCAGATCTGACCCGCTTGTACAAAACGTCTGACTTAATTTACAATTGCTATTAAAAATGACAAGGTATACCTCTTCTCCAATTCGCAGGATTAAAAATGGAGTTATCACTGGAATTACTTGGAAAGCTATCAGGACTCCAAGGTTCGTAGCCTTGCATAAGTCCTCCTTTAGGTTTAGTAGCTTTATTAGCTGAAACAAATTTCAAATATTATTGACAAAAAATTAATATTCTTAAACATATACCTATACAATGGTTTCTAAAGAGTTCAGGGCAGTAATTTGAATCGATGCGGCCCCCGGCAGCTCACACCAGAGGGGCCTCTCTAAGATGATTCAACTGGATGAACTCAACCCATTGTGTTCAACATGAGTACTACGGTAATAGATTATTTGATATAGGCCTATGAGAAATTCGCTAAAAATAAAATCTTTTTCATTTTTTCAACAATACTATTATTATTTGTTTGCGAAACTTGTTCACTTGGTAACAGGTAAAAATTGTTGACCTTCGGGCTTCGGCCTAAAATCAGGTCGGGTCAAAATTGGTTTACAATGAAAAGAATTTATAGTAGGCATACGGTACGATTGGTTTACTAGGGTTTAACAACAGCAATACAGATGACCCCCTCTCAACTGACCTCACAGTTGCATTAACCGATAAGCGGATTATCCGCCCTCACTCGTAAAATATTAGTTTGTTTTTACCAAATTCATTAGCAGTTTAACCTTTCTAGGAATTTCGGTATTTCCACTTCCATGCTCGGCGATGGGGACAATACGCTAAACTCTACAGGATGTTACCAAGAAAAAGTTATTTTGTATTATCCTAAATAAACATCCTGTCTCGTAACAAAATGATTACTTGTATCTTTTACTAAATTGAAATTTTACCTTTGTCATCCAGCTCCTGATTTATTCAACTTGTTACGGCCGTTTCAGCATCACTATGCCATCGTCGGACTGTTAAGCCAAAAGGCGTCGTTAAAACACAAAGACATATACACACACATATTTGTCAAAACGGGGTTTTGAAAGCAGGCCTGTTGAGGATAGTACATTCCCGAACTTGAGCAGGTAGTCCGACGATGGCACAGTGATGCTGAAACGGCCGTAACAAGTTGAATAAATCAGGAGCTGGATGACAAAGGTAAAATTTCAATTTAGTTATAGAACCAGCTCAGGGGCTAGAAAATATGGATTATAATGTATGTTTTATTTGGACAATAATTCTTTAGGCCTATGTATTAAGATGGATTTTGAAAGCATCAATTAATATTACTAAAAGTATGAAAATAAGAATTTTTAATGACAACTACAATTATAATTTATTCCTCTGAAAGGATTTGACGATAACAAGTTGGGTTTATTTGTGACTTTTCTATCGACAATACTTAAAATTAGCCTAGATAAAGTGTAATTCCAAATTAATATAACTTAATTTTTCAAGTACCTATTAACTTAGGAATTGCCCATTTTAACCAAGCTTTTAGGTTATCCAACCTAGTTCCGGTTCTGTTACGGTCGGTTAAGAGGGGGTTTAAATTATTGTCCTTGGTCACAAAGAAATTGTATGCATCTACTAAGTTTACAATGCAATAGTGAAAATCTGTTGCGGTCATGGAGACTTCTGCTACATATCCTGCAATCACAACAAATTTGTGAACATCTTCCGCAATCATTATTGTCGCTCGCGATTGTGTGAAAATCATTAGCACAAAACTAAGTCACCCTCGATCATGCCATACACAGCAGTCTTGATGAAATCGTTGACATCTTTCATGAACCCGGAGGAATCGTTAACATTCTTTACGGTACAAAATTATCAAAAATCTTTTGCCATCATGGAGATATTGCAGTCTCTCACGATCACGGTGAAACCACAATCGTCTCTACAGTTTTAGTGAAACCGTAATTATCTTTTGCGGTCGCCTGTTATTTTAGTCACCCCCTATTGTTGTGAAAAATGTAATTCAATTGTAATTTTCAATCGCACAATCTACGACCGCGAGAATAAAATCTGGGCTCAAAAATCATACACACTAACTAAACAATGACTAGCCTAATTAAATAATTGGTAAAATTCATTTTTCCTTAAATCTGAGAGTTTGGTCTTAAGATAAGTTTAAAGCTCAACGATACATTGATAGGAACCATTCTTACACTGACATGGCCTTTTCTCAAGTTGACATGGCAAGCTACCTTACTGGAGGGTTCTGACAACAACGGTGTTACTTGAATGAATAATTACAAAATGCAAGTCAAGGCTACTGAAATCTACGATAAAATACCCAAGGTTATTTTCTTTTGAAAGTCATTTTTATATCATACCTAAATTTGATTATGAACATGTTTTTCTCATCTAGATCAAAAGTAACTTACTTGTAACTGGATCCATTCTGGTAAGAATTTTTTTTCTTCAGGTCCAATATTAAGTCATTTATTTACATTATCTGAAACAACAAATAAATAAATAATTACATATGTATTGAATTGTAAAGACTTATCTGATGATCCACATTCAATTTAATTCCACTCCATCTCCCTCATCTATCAATACTATTAAAAGAATTCATAGGATTTTTGTGTACAGCCAATCTATATAAATAAAATTAGAGTTTTGTCTGTACATTGCTTAGAATAATGAACTTTTTGGTTATTTTTACATTTCATAGGTCAGAGAAACCGAATCAAACCTTATCTCAATTTCTGTCTGTCTGTCTGTCTGTCTGTCTGTCTGTCTATCTGTCATTCTCTTGGTAACGCTAAAATACGCACTTTATTACAACTACTCCTCAATAACTATAGCACTGTCCCGCCTGAAACTTATTTTCCAAATACTATACATATATGAGATGGTTTTAGACGTATTTCATCGAATATGAGACAGTTAGATATTTAACAGTAAACCCTTGAAAATCAAGTTTTTGTCGATTTTTGACGTGGAATTTCTGGAAGCCCATGTTAACCTTATGAGAAATGAAATTATTGAATCTTAACAGCTGTTTCAATTAAACAAGTTGGTTCTGTTCTGTGATGTTCAATAGCATTAAAGTTACAAGGATTACCAACAGGGTGCAGCACTAGCACTATTATTTCTTTTACATTTATGACAACAGCTAATTTGCAACCTGGAGGCGAGTGAGCGTAGCGAACGAGCTAACCTGAAGGCAAGTGAGCGTAGCGAACGAGCTAACCTGAAG